TTTCAGAATTTTGTGCATTTTGTATTCCGATTGTTTTTGACATTAATTCTAATCCATTATCTGTTACTATTCCATAACCAGCTCTTTTGTTGTAGAAACTTCCATCCGTTGCTATGATTTTAGCCTTTTCAAAGGCTCGTTTTGTGGCTGTTGAATGTTTGTTGTTAATGATGTTGTATCTGTTTTTAAGTTTCTGGAGGTTATTAGATACTTCATTTCTGATTTCTTCATTATGAATGAGGTTGATTTGGTGGGCATAAAAAACATGATTGCGGATTAGGCCATAGCTCACTTTGTTCCACTTGTCGTGGATAAAAGGGATGATTGGTGATTTTTCAATAGGTTCAGCACTGTTCCATAGGTTGATGTTGAATTCCTTGTTTGCTCTCGCAGTTATTTTAAAGTATGGTGGAAAAGGGTCTAGTTTCTTGAGGCTCATGTTAGTAGGCCATTGGCATGTGATCGGGTTGAGCCCGAGTGATTCATTGCACATTTTGATCATTTGTTTGGTGGTGCTTCCCCAATAGTGGTCATCTTGGAGCATGATTTTTCTAATTTTGCTAAAACAGTCTATTTTCCAGAGCATCTCAATGTCTTTGAGACTTAGTCCTCCTTGTCGTTTAGGTAGATATAACCATTTAGGGTCAAGCTTTTTCTTTGTTTTGAAAATTTCATTAATTCGGGCATGGATTACTTGTTTACATTTTTGTATTGTGGAACTATCTGAGATTGAGTAGCTATGGTATAGTATGAACGGAATAATGTCAGTGTTAATCACATTGATTACTGATTGAATTGTTGCATTCATGTGTATGCCATTACACTTTTGTTTTGTTCTTTCAATGATCCATTTGTTGAGTTTGGAAGAATCGTTTTTGGTATTGAAGTGAGCTCCTAATGCAATAAATTCGTCTTTGGAGAAATGGAATTTGTCATCAAGAAGGATAATGGCAGGGACATTGCTAAAAAATTCTGTTTTGTCGGGCTCTAAATCCATTCTTTTTGTGTTTAAGAGGTTTCTGAGAACGGAGTACATTTCCATTAGTTCCTTGGTTTCTTTGGATACTAAGACTATGTCGTCTATCCATCCACCGACAGCAAAGCCAAAAGGACCTGCTTGAGGGTCGATAATATATCCTTTGTAATTCTGTTCGATATGTTGTAATACTGGTTCCACAGAGATTTTAAACGCAGTTGGAGAAAGTCCGTCACCCTGTTGTAATCCTATTTCATTCGTATATCCTGATGATAGAGTATTATTTGTGAAGATTTGGCATCGTGTGTGTGAGATGATGTCATGGATTTTTTGTCCCACTTCTTGTGGTATTCCTAGATGTTCTAGTCCTTCGATAAGGCATTGATTGTCAATAGACGTCAACAATGAGATTTTTCCAATTTTTTCACTTTCCAAAAAAAATGTCTCGTACGAATCAACCGAATCCAACAAATCAAACAACAAGAAATTCTCTTCCACTTTCTGGAATTACAGTATTCGATTTGTCTCGACTCTATCCAGGTCCATTATGTGCTCAATTATTGCAAGATTTAGGAGCACTAGTGATTAAAATTGAAGATCAAAGTGGAGGAGACCCGACGAGATATTTCCCTCCATTGATGAAAGAGTAGGTGTTTGGGTTGTTGTTGTTTGGTGAGATGAGGATTATTGATGATGATGATTGCTGAAAATAATATTTTTGGATATATTTGGAAATTTAAAATCTTTGGATCGAAAAATAATTAATGATTTTTTTTGAACAATAGAGAGGAGGATTCTGAAAAGAATAGTAGTTATCTCTTTCATTGTTTTAATAGAAACAAAAAATCAATTGCTTTGGATTTTAAACGAAAAGATATTTCACAAATGTTAAAAAAGATTTTATTTCAAAAGGAATTGTTTGGTCATGAAACACCGAGTGGTGTGAGAGTTTTAATTGATAGTGCTCGACCTGGAAAATTAGAACAATTGCTTGGAATTAAACATGTGAGTGAGTTATGGGAGGAATTTCCAGCGCTTGTCATTTGTCGAATTTCTGCATTTGGACAAGATGTGAAAAAATATGGAGATATGCCAGCTCATGATATGAATACTGTTGGAGCAGCTGGTAAGTGGTTCGTGGAGAGTATATTCTCTGTTCGGGAGTCTGACTTTGAATGATCTTGGTGATATTTCATAATTTCCATTTTTAGGAATTTTCAACATTTCTGGAGACGTTTCTGAAAAGAATTCCGGATTGAAACCTCTTCCTATCCAACTCTCAGATGTCATGACTGGTTACAGCTCTGCCTTACAAGTAACTTCTCTCATTCGAAAATTAGAATCCATTCTTCAAAATCCAATTTTCACACAACAAGAAAAAATCGAATTATTGAAACAAGTGAATCGACAAATTGATGTCTCCATGTTTGACAATGCCATTGCCACGATTCAAATGTCTCTCACGCTACAACTCAACGGATATGAAGAAATGGCATCCAATGGAAGACACGTCCTAGCTGGTTCCATATTAGGATATAATATTTATCCAACTAGGGAAGGATTATTATCGGTTGGATGTTTGGAACCACATTTTTGGAAAGCATTTCTCACAGTATTATCTCGATATGAAACCATTCATTCGTGTCCACAACAAGAACAATTCAAAGATTCTGAACGACCATCCAACAACACCATTCCACAACAAATTCATTCCCAATCATCCACTCGAATTCTTCCTCTCACCAAATATACTTCTCCTCAATATTTATTTTCCAATGATTCTGAATTGAAAAGTCGTATTACAAAAATTTTGACAACAAAAACAGCATGGGAATGGGAAGAAATTTTCACACAACACTGTGCAAGTTCTGAAAAGTTGCCAGTCACGAAAATTCGAACATTGCATGAAATTGATCGAGAATTATTGCGGGAACGAAATATGATTGCGAATATGGATCAGAAGAAACAGCGTTGGATTGTAAAAAATGCATTGGATTATTCGTCATTGTTGAAAAACACAACTTTGGACCATTCTTTGCAAGGTGATCATCATCAACGAGGACCTCAATTAGGAGAACATAATGCCATGTTCCTCATCTCCAAATTGTAATATTATTTATTTTTTTGTGACTTTTTCAAGTTTCAATTTGAAGTTTCAATTTCACAACTTAAAATAAATCTAGAAAAATAAATTCACAAAAACAATGAAAAAATTGAAAACATTGTTCACAACAACAACCTTCAATCATTGAAACATGCCCTCTCTCTTTCAATCTCTCCCCAAAGAGTCTTTTCAACAACAAACTTTGAATTATCTCAATTCTGTACCCATTCGAAAACATGTCACTGCAGCTACTACCGACGACTGTGTGGTGGTCTATCAGGCATACAATCCAGAAATTGCACAACATGCAGTTTCTCATCAAACCTTTGAAAATTGTTCCAAGTTTAGCATGACTCGAATGACTTGGATCAAAACAAATTATTTGTGGATGATGTATCGGAGTGAGTATGCCACGAGTAAAAATCAAGAACGGATATTGGCATTGTTTATTGATAAGGAATATTTTGAAAATTCAATATTGGGTGAGTTGATATATTCGAATTTCAATTTATTATTTATTATTTTTTTTATATGAATTTAAATTTATAATAATTGTAATATTATTATTTTGTATTTATATAAATATTTAGGAAATGGAATTTGTAGTTATTTCTATTACGGATTAGACCAAGTCTATGGCAGTGAAGAGGAATGGAAGAAGTTAATGGATCAACAAAAACATGCCAACACTTGTGTGCGAGTTCAATGGGATCCCTACCACGATCCCTCCGGAAATAAATTACCAGAAGTAAGGGCCATTCAAATCGGATTGAAGGGTGACATTGTCAAGGAAATGCTTTCTCAACATAAAGTGAAAAAAATTGAGGATATTACTTCGTATGTGAGGGAACAACATGAACATTGGAAGCAAACGGGAGATTTAAGCATTCCAGTGGAGAGATTGTATTCGATTGAGAATGAGGAAATTAAAAGAAAATTGGCGATTATGTAAATTATATTCATTCGCGAACAACGACAAAGTTTGATTTGACAATAAAAGGAAATGAAAATATTACAAAAAAGTAACGTTCCGAATGGAGTACGCTTAGCATTCAAAATTGAAAAAAAAGCTCGTACTAATTGTGGACACACCTTTCTTGTCAAGACAACATGTTTAAAAGTTCAAAATTTAATAAGCGAATCACATGCATGACAATGACAACAAAACTCACTACACATGATGAGTTACAACAGGATCTGTGGAAAAGGCAACTGCTTCTAAATCATTTTGCAAGGAATCGACCAGTGTCGAAAATTGAATACTCGATTGCAAATTATCAACAGAAATGCCCTTCTTGTGTAGTATTTGTGTAATTTCATTCACAAGTCCATCATAGTAAGCGGATGGATTTTTCAAATGTCTTTTGAGTAAATTAATTCCTCTCAAATCATGAGCTAAAATTTCATAATAATCGATCTGACCAATCATGCTGCCATCCAATGAAGTAATTCCAGTGTTGTAGGCACTTCGTTGACCTGCTTCAATGGCACGAACGATATGAAGATGAACTCTGGCAGCCAATGCAACATAGCTAATCATATCAATGGAACAGAATGGATATAAATCTGTGTAGGTTGTGTACGTAACTCGCAATGCACATTCTTCAATGAGATCTTTTCGTTGTCCAGCTTTTGTGAGAATGGCTATTTTCAATCCATTCGAAATAAACAAGTAGACTAAATCAATTTTAGAAAATGGTTTCGAGTTTGCTGTTTTCGTTAACATGTTACTCTGTGCATACATTAATTTAGTCAAGGTATCAATCACGTCTAACATTTCTTGATAATTATGTTCGGTAATTTCCTGTGAAACAAGATCATGAAATTCAGGAGGAAGTGATTGTCCAGTAGAGAGAGTATACATTTGTGGAATTTGCTTAATCATGTCCATCACATTACCAGAATAGTCATTAGAAATTCGATTGTTACATGTGGATATTTTAGCATAGGCATGAGCTCTTTTAAGGAGTTGAGCTCGATCGTCCAATGCATTTTCATTTGCAAGTGATTCCAAATAAAATTCACAACATTGTAAGAAAAATTTGGCAGTCTTCAAATCATGATTCAAAGATTCCACAAATGACATGTAACAAAAAGCAGTAGCTACATAAAAATTAGAGTGATGACAAAACACGGTTGACAATGCGTGACGTGCTTCAAGCATAGCTCGAGCTGCATCTTCAATTGTTCCACATCGTTGCTCAACAAGTGCTCGAATGACTGTAAATAACACTTCCACTTCTCGCTTATTTGGAGTTCCTGGAGGACATTTTTGTTCATCCAAATAATATTCGAGTTCGTCACGAGAAAACAATGGAAAATCAGCAGCCAAGCAAGTGAAATAAATATCCACAATTTTAGATTTTGCACGATTTGGAATGACAGGCATATAGGGTGTCAAATTTGATGATGATTTAGATCGATTCTTCTTTTTCTTCTTTTTCTTTTGTTGTGGTTGAGAAGTATTCCTCTTGGGAGTGCGATATGTACACTCCACTCCTCTTGAAACACATTTTGTACATGATGGCAGTCTCTTGTCACACTACGTATATCATGAAAGTTAAGTTTAATCCTCTTGTACAACTCTACATGTAGAAACACAAACCTTTTTATGAAGCTGTCTGCATTGCACACAGGCAATAGGATGGAATTCACATTCATCCTCTGCATTCGTATGGTCATCAGAATCGTCAGAGGAGTCTGAATCTCCCGATGAATATTGCTGCAATGGTGGCAAAATGCCACTGTAAAATATTTGCTGTGAAGAGTGAGTCATTTGTGGATTACTAGGAGTAATTGAAAGATTATTTTGAGGTGATGAATACCCGTATTGTTGTTGATGAGGTGATGATTGATTGGATGAAGGCATATTGGAGGTCATGGTGACACTTGTTGGTAGAGATGCAACATGTTGATGGCCTGCATCCAAACTTCCAGTGTCACTTGTCATTAGAGATAACAGCGAAGAGGAAGAGGATGATCCTGATGAATACGTGCCCATGTTGGTACCAAAATTACCACTTGTAGAACCGTGCATGCTATTTGTCATTATTTTTTGATTTGACGGCGAGTTTGTTGTGGTTACGTTCGAGAGGTGATGAACGTGGAATTGTAGTTGTTTGTTGGTAATACCATGGCCACTATTGGATTTGTTTTGTAAAGTAGTATTCCTAGAAGTAGTTACACCGGTGTTTGTAGTCATCATCATTGGATGATCTGAAACAATGTTCCCATGATTACTCCACAAAATGGCGTTGGAATTGCCATTCGTGTTGTTGTATAAAGTAGAATGAGGTTCATTTGTGTATGACATCTGACCGTTATTGCCAACATGCATGTTGTGGTAATTTGTTTGAGATTGTGTTGGATTTATGTTTGACAGAATTGTGCGCTGTTGTTGATGCATCTTTGTCGAGGATGATCCTCCAAATTTTGATACAGTCAAATTTGCTTGTTGTTGTTGTTGATGCATCTGATCTAACATCATATCCAATAAACTTGAAGTATTGCTATTGTTGACATTACTTCCTAGAATAATGGTATTAGCCGATAATACAGATGACGACGAGTAGGACATGGGATAACCGTTTTGTTGTTGTTGTTGCATCAAATTTTGGGAGTCATTTGTCGTGCCACTTCTCATCTCAAAAGGATTTGAGTGTGGTGGAGATATATATCCTTGATGATGGGGAATGGTTTGTTGTTGTTGTGGAATGGAAAGAACTGAATGTGATGGAGATGCCGTTCTGTTCTCTGTTTTAGTTGGCAGCAGCGTCATGTTCGGCTGTGAGGAGAGATGATGAGTGGATGAAATACCATCGTCGCTGTTATTGCTATTACCCCTACTCGTCATGGTGTTGGTCATGTTACTCGCTGTAGAAGTATTCATTGCATGAGTTGGCGAGGAGGAGGGAAGAGGAGACGAATTATTTGTCCTAGATGACATTTCAGAATCTTGTGAAAAAGGTATTGACTGGATGAGAGAGATCTCTCTTGGCAAAGAATCCAAGATTGAAAATTGAGAGGAATCAAGGAGTCTAGCCAGTGAGTTACTTGTTGTGTGAATCACTATCGAGTAAATGTGTGAGTGGTCTCTTGTTTTTTTCTTGAAAGAAAACCCCACAATTTACATGTTGGTGATGATCACCCATAATTCTTCCTTGTTCATGCTACAAAAGTAGTGGTATTATGCGATTGGGATTTGAGGGGAGACAATAGGACGACGAGTCAAGTAATCCGAAGATGTGGCGCTCAAATACCAGGCCAACACACAATGTTTAAAAGGTTTGACACTTGCGAGGTTCTTTCAAATTTGAATAGCCACCAGGGATGTTAGTTTGATGTCTGAAACCCATATGCCAATTTCATGTTGTGGATCCAAACAAGTACATGAAATAGAATGCTAATCATACTACTTGAGGAGTGGAAGCGACCACAAAAGGTGGTGCATCCATTATAAATTCTATGATTCAAAATGCATTCTGAAGAAATCAACAAACAAACACTGAATTCTTGGACAAGCAACCGGAATCACTACTCAGAAATATCTTTCGTCAAGTGATTGTTGGATCACGTGCCTCGTTTGTCAAGAGAGCACACAAAAAGGATATCCAGGAACGGACCCGATTATGTGCCAAACATGAATCTCCTCTCGAACTACATTCCAATCCGACAAATTTACTCCGCCGACACTGCAAGAATTCAGTTGTATGGCTTAGGCCAAGTACTGATACCAATTCGAGTCGTCGTTCACTCGTTTCATGTATTCTTGTTGAAGAAGGGAGTCAATGGCTCTTTTGATATCTACAGTTGTTGGTTTGAAGGTTGGTGAAAGTTGTGTGAGCAACAAGTTCACGAGTTGCTTGTGCTCAATGAGCTTTCGTGCTTTCAAGATTCTCACAATGGCTGCTTGGATGACATATCGTCGATCTTCTTGAATTTGTGAATAAATTTTGTCATTCAATGGGTGATCTCTTCCAGTATTTTCGTGGTATTGCTTGATGGTGTATTGAAAGAGAGCAATTTTGTTCTTCTTACTGTTGAAATTTTCATTAATTTGGATGATTGAGTTTCGGTCGAGAGTTGAATGACCTGAAGAATGTTCAACATCAAATAATTTCAACGAGTGCAAAGGTGTGAATACTTGAATAAATTCATCCAATTCCAGACCAGTCTCATCTAATAATTGTTGAACAGTCCACTTGATAGTAGACACGTCCTCTGGTGTCGATTCATTGGAAGATCCATGCATTTTGTTGAATGGAAGCAACAATGCAAGCTGAACCATGGAAACGTTGAATTCATAGTAGGGTGATGACGATTTCATAAAGTATCCTCGTACCACTCCTTTGGATAAAATATTGAGCCATGTTAAATGTCTACCGGAGTGTTGATTGGCATAGAATTTGGAAAAATCGTTCATACGGTCAACAATTACATGAGGTACAATAAACTTGTTGTTTCTGCTTGGAGACATCAGGGAAGATACTTGCAAGGGCCAATATCCTCGAGTTAAAACAGTGCACGACAAGTGTATCTTGTGTGTGTTGGTTGAGGGAGTTTCATTTTCATGCTGCTTAAATTGTTCGTTCAAATTTCTTGCAACATCCAAGTCATTGATCACTTTATACTGGTCATATCGAAATCACATTAAATCTATGCCACTTACTTGTTTGAATTTTGTAAATATGACTAAATGGACACACTTTTTTCAACTTGTTGATCATTATCAACTCTGTTTCTTGTTGAGATGTGTCGCCCTCTGATGAAAAGATGAGCAGTCTTCTCGACAGAAATACCTTGTAAAATTGAACAAAAACGTCCATGTCGTTCAATAATGTGCAAATCATAACACAACGATCTAAGCCATCTTCTAAATTAGAGTCATCCATGGAGCTGGAAGGAAGGGCTGTTTTTGAATTGGCTTTCAACAAATGGTTGGTATACCTGGCCAAACTTTCTGCACTTCGTATGCTTGCATTGGTTTGATAGACGGGAGGATTGTTGAAAATTTCTTTGAATGCCTTATCTTTTGTCACATTTAGATCAAAGTTACCTCCAAAGATATTGTTGACAATGTTTCCAAATTTCAAATAATTTTCAATAAATATTTCAATGAACAATATTGAATCAATGTTGTCTTCAGCACAATTTTCAAATTTAGATTTTAGCTCATTAGAAATGTCCACAAGTACTTTGTCTCGTAACTTTCTTGAAAGCACATTAAATGCATTCTTGCGCGTTGATTTCATGATCAGCTTGAACAGTAATTCTAACTCGTGTGTAAAATGTTCAACATCATTCAACCATTGATCAATCTCACTGAACAAGAAATCCTTGGATGATGACATGGATTGAGTTGGTAACGGAGATCTCGGAGACCTTTCAATTATAGTGTCATTAGTGATGTTAACCATGTTCATTCCCTCTACAAATGTGTCAACACAAATCTTGGTTAGAGTATCCTTGGAACTTGCGTTGATATAATGTAAAATTATTTTGTTACTTTCTTGGTCAATTCGTGTTAAGGCATGTTTGATGTAGGTTCGTACAGCCTGGTCTGAGGCTATCAGCAACTGTGATATCAGAGATGAAACTTCACTAGCGTAATATTCAACACTGCTGTGAAGAAGGAATCGTTCAAAATCGATGGTATAAAAGAGCGGGTAGTATGCAACTCGTTTTTTTGAGCCTCCTTTGTAGTGATCATTTTTCACTTCGGTAAACAGAGAGTTGTAATAATCTCCAATAAATGGCTGTAGCTTTGAATTGAATCCTTCAAGAGATGTCAAATGCAAATACTTGATATTGAAATAGTAATCCTCTTCAATGTCCAAGCTTAAATCTACAAAGGATCGAATTACCGATTTAAGAAGTGGATAGTATTCGTCTACGGATGAAGAGAGAGCTGCTTTCGATCTCAGTGGTGAGTGTGCATTTCTGTCTTTCTCGATTGCTTGCAACACAGTGTGATATAGTATATATTTGTCAAAATAGATAACCTCTTCTGGTAGTGGTGAATTTTCATCTGCATCTTGTGTTGGTGGGCTTTCAATTTCATTAGTTGCAACAAAATGTCTTTCAATATTTACAAAATCCTGGTTGTTCTTGTGATTGCTGTCACATCTTTCAAAAAAGAATTCTCTCCAAAGTAAGTAACAAGTCGTTCTGGTGTGGTAGACATGATTACTTTCGCTAAAATGTTTGATGAGTTTCAAATTTACAGGAGAAACATTGTTCTTGTCGCTAGTATTGGGTGATTGTCTATTAGACTTTCGTTTACATTCCATGTCGTTTATCCAATCTGTGTTGAGGTAATGAAATACCTTGTTCATAAATTCACAAGAAATTACAAAATTCTTCCAAGATTCTGAATATTGTTTCAACAATGAAAAACCTCTCAAATCTTTCAGTCTTTGTCCAATTAATTCTTGTTGAATAAATCTAGCAATTAATCTCTTAAACATAAAATATAGAGTACATGGTTGAATATCACCTTCTTGCGGAATAACCGTTGCATGAGGATTTTGTGCCAACACACTTTGGTCAGGTAATTCATAACATTGGCAAGTGCTTAGTTTATATACAATATTATGCAATTGTTCAATGTCATGAGTCAATTTTGCTTTCAAAGGATCGAACAAAATTTTCCACAAATCTCGTTCCAAGCTTTCCCACAAGGCACTAAAATTAACAGCTTTAATTGCGAGCGAGGGTCTACTTCTCCTCATCAATCCCGAATTATTTCTATTCCCTCCACCACGATTAATAACTGATGATGAAGCATTACCACTTCTCGGATTTACTCCACTATTCTGAAGAGGATGATGAATGTTATTATTATTTCTTGGATGGGTAGTTTCATCATCTCTATTTCCAGCAGCAGAGTGAGATCTTCTCCGTTCGCTCATTTTTTGCAACGATGTCTTCTTCAAAGAGAACGTTGTTTGGATCATCATCTCGAAAGGATTCAAGAGAAAGAAAAGTCTCTTGGATTTCATCTTCATCAATAATGATGAGTCTTGTGAAGAATTGTTGAGTCAATAATTACGAAAAAGAAAAAATGAAAAAGTTCATACTTTCCACATCCAACAACACGAATTTTAAGAGTGCTTTTTCTCATCATCATGAGGATGTTCGGATGGCGTCCTACTTGTTGAGACCGGAACGGTTTTATGCCCTTGCTTCAAGTGTTAAATTTCTAATGACTCAAGATGCTTTATTCGGAATGAGAAATTTCTCAACTCAAAATGCCTCTCTGTACGGAGAGGATAATTATCAAAATAATAATAACAGAAAATTCGGAAATACATCCTTCACTCCTAACAATGAAGAATCGAGGAAATTCAAGGACCATGAACGTAAAAAAGTTCCTCCTCAACATTACGCTCAAAAATCACGAGATACTTGGCCAATGTTCAAGGACGAACAATTAGAAAATGATGACACTCGACACAATAACATGAATAGAAACAGATCCAGACATCATCATCAAGGACATCAATTCAATAGAACGCATAATAAGACACAGCAAGAACGGAACAAGTCAGAGACATCAGTGGAGAATGAAGTTGCTTCGATGGTGTCCAAACTACTTTCAAGATCAAATTTCGAACAAAAACAGGTCGATAGGTATAAGGACTGGAAATACCCAAAATTCACTATCAAATGTCCCGATAACTTTGACTTTACTAGCGCACCAACAAAAGAGCATGACCCCACTTTAATGTTAACCCCTTTTGACGAAGACAAGGCGAAAATGTTTAAAACATTTATGCTCAATTATGTGAAGAAGAATTCAAGTTTTAAAGCCAAGTGTACATCGATGAACTATGAATTTTTATTTGACATATTCTGTTTGGAGATATTGGAACGTGCAAAAATACAACCTGAAATTGCAACTTTAGTGGACGAGGTAATCAATTTTCATCCAGAGAAAATTGTTATGAGAAATCAAAAAGGTGGTGACGACTCTATTTTTTCGAATGTGATTAATACAGATATGAAGCTTTATGATTTTGCAACTATTACGGAACACACGTTGGGAAACAGTAACTTTTCAACAGAGCTGTCGAAATGGTTCAACACTTTCATTCAGCAAAAGTATCCTTCAGACTTTAGATTATATATAGAGGCACTTCGTTGTTGTGACATGACCAATCCATTCAAATTCTACAAGAAGTCAATACCTTTCGGAAGAAAAGTGATTTATCATCTTGGACCAACAAACTCTGGAAAAACTCATGCTGCTCTTACGGCCTTATCGACCGCTGAAAATGGTGTTTATTGTGGGCCGTTGAGATTACTTGCCCAAGAGGTTTTCACCAAGATGAACACAAGGTATGGATGTAAATGTAACTTATTAACAGGGCAAGAAAAGAGAATAATTCCTGGAGCAAATCATGTTGCATGTACAGTCGAAATGGCAGATTTGAATGAAATTTATGATGTTGCTGTAATTGATGAGATTCAAATGATTTCTGACGCTCAAAGAGGCTCTGCTTGGACTAGAGCTCTTTTAGGCTTGAAAGCAAGGGAAATTCATGTTTGTGGTGATGGAAGCGCATTAGAGATTGTAAAGAACTTGGTTTTTGGAGATAATTCCAAATTATCAGAAGATACTAGCATTGAGGTTATTGAAGTAGACAATCCCAATCACATTCCAACAGAAGATGAAACAGCCACAGGAGAAAATCTTTATCATTATCATCAACCAGTTGCTGCTGATAAGCTTCTCTACTTTTCAAAACCAGGAATTTCAGACACATTAGAAGTGGTGCCATATACTCGAATGAAGCCCTTAGAGATTTGCTCGGAATCGTTACAGGGAGATGTCAAGAATATCAAAGATTTTGATTGCATCGTTACCTTTTCCAGGAATGAAATTTATGAAATTAAGAAATTAATTGAAGTGAATACCGGTATTAAGTGTTGCGTTATTTATGGAGCATTACCTCCTGAAGTAAGAACAGATCAGGCAGAACTGTTTAATGATAGTGCCGATAAGGAGCAGGATGAATTTGGAAACAGAGACTACTCGGTGTTGGTTGCCAGCGATGCTGTTGGTATGGGCCTTAACTTGAACATTAAGCGCGTTGTGTTCTACAAAATGTCTAAATTTGAAAATGCCAAACAATCCAATGCTCCTCTTGAGCCATCTTTGGTGAAGCAAATTGCAGGAAGAGCTGGACGTAGGGGTTTTCACGAACATGGACAAGTCACAACATTTTTTGACACTGATTTAGAGTACCTTCATCAATGCATGAATTCTCCAAACACAGCCATTGAACAAGCAGGTCTATTTCCTGAATGGTCTCAGATTGAAGAATTCGCCAAAGTTTACAAGAATCTTAAGGACAATGATGAAATAACTGCTATTCCTATAAGGGATGTGTTGGAAAAATTCTTCTCCTTGAGCAAAATTCATAAGGACTTTTTCTTTTGTGATGTTCAAGAAACATTAGAATTGGCAGCTGCAATTGATGAAGCCGGTCCCAATATGACACTGAAACAAAAATTCGACTTTGTGAATGCACCAGTACCTGGGTTTGATAGAGCTAAGGAGATGCACATTCGTTATGTAGAAGATTTCTCCAATCCAAAAATTGCAACTGTTCCATTACATATTGACTTGCAAAACATTTTAAGGATTTTGGATAAAATTCGAGAAAAGTCCAAAACAGAGTCTAAAATTCAAACAGGCTTTAATTCAGTGGGAGTATATCTTCAAGAAGCTTTAAAGAATATTGAATTTTATCACAGAATGATTGACTTGTATATGTGGCTAGCAAACAAATATCCCTTAAGATTTGACAAAGATGCTGCAGAACAAGCACGAGATGTGTTGATGAGTGAATTGACCGAGTCTCTTTTTAATCAAACAGAGGAGAATAAGAAATTGAAATCCATAGGCATGCTCAAAGAAAATGCTCCAAGAGCATTTGAATATGTCTCATTTAAGAGAAACAATCGAAATCCTAACCAGCCACCTCTCGATCCAAGTTTGCAAGGCCTTAGACGTGTCATGATTGGAGGAAAAGAGTATTTCAGAAAGAATCAATACCAAGTAGTGACTCTCGATGGAAAGCAAACCAAAGATATTGTGGATGTCATGGTTGAAACTATGGATCAAGAGCAGAAACAATAAAATTGTTGAATACTTCAACCATTTCAGCACGTTATTCGGTTCATTTTAACAAATTTATCGCTTGTCAATCCAAACGAAGAGTCCGTCAATGAATTTGTAAAGAGCACATGTCATTGGTTTTTAAATAACAATTAAAAAATGTCAAACAATGGCAACAACAACTGGGAACGTTCTATTTTCCACATCTCTGAGTTTGATGATGAAGTCGTAGTTGTAGGAGGAACAAGTCCTCTCGTACTGCTGACACTGCTGAGTTCTGTCGGCATTGTACTGTTTTTCATCATTTATACACTATACAAAAAACACAAAGCATCCCAACAACAGCCTTCCGAGACAAGTGACAGCAACCCGAACTTGAACCCCTCCCGAGCGTCCATCTTGAACAACATTGCCCGTAATAGTTTATTCAACAACCACAACAACAACAACTACTCGAATACCATCACTCCCGAACAATTACTTGCGTTGCGAAGAGAAATTGGGCTTTTTGATGCAGCTGCACTCGAAGAGTTGGCGGGAAATGACACGGTTACAACCTCAACGACCGTAAAAAATGGAACACGGAGTTCAACGAGGCGAAAAGTTTCGCAAAAGCCTTTGTCATCCTTGCATTTCAATTACTCGACGACGGCCGAGTCGTTAAGCGATCGGAAATTGGAAAGTGATGATGAAAGTATTGTTACAAGCCGTAGCAGTAGTGTTAGAGAGGAGGATCAAGAGGCGCTTGTTACTCAGCGTTCTAATAATTGGGATTCTGAATCGATGAGAACATATCGAGCTTCGATGAGAGTTGCTATGGAACATCAAGCCAATGCAGTTGGAGAATTGGAATCTCTAATTGAAAATATGATTATGACAAAACATAATTATGGAGAATCGTTACAAGCTTTATTGATTAATTTTGCTGTAAAAATTTATCATCTTCTTATTGCTTTGAGGATTGACTACAACAAACTCAAAGACGACTATTCAAAAATGGTGACAGTATTGAAAGATGCTTTCACACAATATACACATGAAAGCGCAAAAGCACTCATGAATAATAACTCGCTCATCGTAAAATTAGAGAGTCAATTAGAACAGAAAGAGTTGAAAACAGAAACATTGAATAATCAACTCACATTCAAAGAAAAAGAAATCGATATTCTTAAAGAATCACTCTCAACCAAACAAACGGAAATTAACAATTTACAACAACAACTTACTGAAGAACGAAACAAGGTCATTGATCGAATTGAAAAAAGTAGTATGGAGTCTTCCAAGTTTCATGAGCAAAGTAAAGAGCTAATAGAATCTCATCGAAAGCAATTATCAGATTTGGAAAATGTGTATCAGTCCAAAATTCATACTCTTCAACAATTGCAACAAAAATTAAGTTTCGACAATGAGCATTTGCAGAAATCATTAAGCAATACAGAAAATCGACTGAAAGATTTACAAGAGCAATACAATGTTCTCAAGAAGGAAAGGGACAATTCAAGTACGTCTCTTCAAACTGCAACAGAAAATATTCGTAATCTCGAGTTACAACTGAAGGAAACAAAACAAGAAAAGGACAAGGAAATTTCATTAATAACTTCTAAATTAGAATCAGTTCAAGAACTTTTTTCACAGAATCAAAAAGTAATCAAAGATTTGGAAGAGCTCAAAAATAACCAATCACAATCGAAATTAACCCAACAACAGGAGCATGAACTCGAGCTAAACAGGTTGCATCAACAGATTACAGCTAAAGAAGAGGCTATAACAAGTCAGAATATTCAATGTCGGTCGTTGGAAGAGAAGCTATTACAATTGACATCCGATGAAAAGCAAAAGACTACACAATTGGAGGAAGCGAACAAAAAATTAAGCACATTGCAACAAGAGTTAGAGAATTACCACAAGTTTTCAAAGGAGCTTGCCTCAAAGTGTGAGGAAAAGGATCTTACTATTGCAAAGCTCAACAATGAAATCAAATTTCAAAATGACAAACTCCAATATGAAATGGAGAAACGGAAGACAGAAAATATTGAGAAAGACGCCAAACTGCATGAGTTACAAAACAGATTGGTAACCTTGGAGACTGAGTTAAAAGATGTTACTCACAAATACGAAAATTCTAGAATGAAGTTGGAGCTCTCTGAAAAGAAAAACGAAGAGTTGACATCGGAGGTCCTTCGAATGACAGAGGAGTACAACACACAGAAAAAATTATTGCAAACAGAAATAGAAAAATTGAACGAGAAGCTTCATCAAGGTTTGGAAAAGCAAATTTCTATAGAACGAGCACACTTGGACAAGGTTCAAGAATTGAAAGACAAAATTGTAAATCTAGAAACTGAAAATCGTACTCTTAACAATCAATTGCAAGAAGCGAAAAAATCTCTTGAAAACCTGAGCTCACAAAAAGAACAAACAACCAAGACATTAGAGGAGAGAAAAACCGAGCTTACCCAAAATCAATCAGAGATTCAAGAAAAGACCAGACAAGTTGAAAAATTGAATAACAAGCTCTCTAAGAAAGAACAATGGATTAGCGCTCTAAAATCTGAAAAAGAAAGATTGGAACAGAAACTCAAAGAGCAAGAATTACTCGTCACAGAGGCGGAGGCTAAGGTCGTCACAAAGCAGCAAGAAATAGAAAAACTAGAGCAAATAGTGACAATTCTGCGCGACGAGAAAGACAAGCAGAAAAATACGATTGAGCAGCTCAATAGGGAAATGAGCACTCTGACCGAGAGCAAGACTGTATTACAAAAAGATTTAGAAAATTTGAACACACTCATTTGTGAACAGAAAGAAATCATTATTAAGAAACAACAATCAATCACAGATTTAGAAAATAAGAATTCTGAATTGACACAACAATCTGAAATACTTGCTTCACAACTTGAACGTGAAAAAGTGCAACTTGCCTCGTCTATTGAAAAACATAAGTTAGAGACTGGAAATCTCCAAGATCAGTTGGAGAAGAAAGAGAAAGAGCTCGAGAATTTGAAAGGAAAGCTCTCAGAAGCCACAACAAGAACAAACCTCCTCGAACAAGATAAAATTGAAATGGAGAAAAAGCTAACAGATGCCTCCAATGAGTTGCAAAATACGCAACAGACCTTAAATCACGTTAACAACGAACATGAAAAGTTAGACTCTAGTTACCAAAATGCTCTTAACGATATCAATAATTTGAAGAGAGAAGTTCAAGAGCTGCAGTCAGAATTGAACGAGAAAATTCAAGCCATTTCCAACTTGGAAAAGACAAATAGCGATTTATCAAAGAAAAACGAAACTGAAACCTCAAGTTTGACAAAACAAAAACAAGAATTCTTGACACAAGTTGAGAAACAAAAGACAGAAATTGAAATTCTGAAGAACAGTTTGCACAACAAAGAATCAGAATTTGACAGTGTTTTGGTGCTGAAAAACTCGCTTGAAAACTCGAAAATCCAGTTGGAACAGCAAGTTGAAGCCTTGTCTCAAGACCTCCATAATGTGAGCGAATCATTGACTGCTTTGAGAAACGAAAACGAGAAATTAACTCGTCAACATCGTGATACGTTAAAAGAGCTAGAGGACCACAAGAACATTGCAACACAGCAAATACATGAGTTGTCCAAAGAGAAGGACTGCTTAACTCTTGAAAGGAATGAGCTGAGGTACAAATTACATGAAAAAGAAGAGCTACTCAAATATCAAGAATCACAGCATAAACAGTTGCAAGAGCAAGTAATGACAACAACCGTAGAGTTGACATCCAAAACGAAAGATCACGAACACAATCAACAACAAATTCGTCGTTTAGAGAAAGAGTTGGATCAGCTTAAACACGAAAAGAATGAATTATCCAGGACCATCAACGAAAAAGAGAAAGCTTTTGAAAAACAAAACTCAGAGTTATTGGTACTTCAAGAAAAACTTGCTAATTCTAAGAAAGACCTTGAAAATTTGAAAAAAGAATGCGAAACCAAAGATTCCAAGCTTTCTGAGGCTTTGGAGAGAGGTCGAAAATTGGAGATGAATCTCTTAGAAGTACAAAACAAGTTCGACACAATTTCAAAGCAAATGGAAGCTGAGAAAAATTCTCATCTGGAATTGTTGCAAAAGCAAAAAATAGATATGGAAAAGCTTGAAAAAGAAATTTCCAAATTAACACAGCATTACAATGAGCAAAAAATAGATATGGACAATCAGGTACGAGACTTGACTCACAAGAATCACACTTTGGAAAGTGAAATTTCAGAAAAACAAAATCAATTGCACGAACAGGACAAAAAGATTACAGAACTTCAACAATCATTGCAAGGAATTGAAAAACAACTTTCAGAAAGAATGTTGAAATATGATAACTTGCAAAAATTGTATGATGAGGAAAAGAACAAGTATTCTCAACATGTTACTACGAATACTGCTCAGCTCCAAAGGATTATGGAACAGTTGGAAAATGAAAAAATCTCACATCATCATGAGCTTCAACAGAGCAAGCAAGAGTTAAATGATTTGGAGCAAAAGTACCACAAGGAAAATAACATCTTCAAAGAACAATTGGACACATCATCTCTAGCTTTAAAATCAAAGCAACAAGAATTGGAAGCACAATATCTCAAAATGAAAATACTTGAAGAAGAACTTGAAAAACGTAAATCAGAAGTGGAAGAGTTGCAACATCAAAACAAGAAGCAGCAGGAAGATTATTCCAAATTGTCACAAGACACGGCAGCCATGAAAGAGACTCACCATGAAAAAATGGTAGATCATGAGAAACGTATGAACATGATCGAAAATAGTCTGCATCTTAAACAAACCCAAATCACACAGCTTGAAAAACAGATTCTTGCAAAGGAAGAAGAGATATCAGAGCTAAACAAGACAATCACATCCAAGAGTGAAAATATTTCCTCAATGCGTGACTTGTTAACAGATATTGCTCGAAAATTGAACGTTAAAACAGATGCAAAAGATGTATCATCCTTTAATGCTCTGTTAGGTGAAGTTGATAAGACTCTAGAATCTCAAAAAGCATTGTCACAGCAGTTGCAAGATGCAAAACAGTCACTGCAAGCGAGCAAACAGGATCTTGACAAGAGCAACAAAAAGATCAAAAAGGCGATGGACAAGCAGAGCACACTCCAACAACAATATGATGACTTGAACGAGAAACACAAGAAACTTTTAGAGGATCAAGCCACTTCCAAGCTATCATTGGAAGAGAGCAGTAAGCAAATCATCAACCTCAACAACCAGATCGATTTACTTAATACCCAAATTAATAATTTAGACAATACTCTTTCCAAACTCAATCAAGAGAAGACTGATTTTATACAACAAAAACAAAAGCAAGATAGAGAAAATGATGAACTTATCAAAGCAGAAAGAAAAAAATATATCAAAGAGGTTGAAAAGTGCAACAGTCTATCTCAAGATCTTGACAACACCCAACAAGCACTCGATAAGATCTCAAAAGAACTTGCTGCCTTGCGTGACAATAATGACACATTGACTCAATCTTTACACATTGCCGAGACAAATGCTACAAGAAACATTGAAGACCTTAAAAAACGCTTGAAAGAACGAGACGATACAATTCAACATTTGGAAGAGGAAAAGCAAACTGCCATTGCCAACTATATTTCACAACTTCAGGGAGTACAAGAAGGCAAAAATTTAGCTGAAGTCAGACTTGAAAAGCTTGAAGAACAAAACCATCAAAACCTCACAACGATCGACAATCTCAAAAAAGAGCGTGATGATCTGAAACAACAAGTTGACAAACTCAACGTGGAAATCAACAAACCATTCATTTGTGAGAAATGTGGAGAGTTAGAAAAGAAATTGCATGACCATGAGGAAAAGTTAAAAAAAGTTACTCTCGAAAAGGAACAAGAACAAAGTGAGCACGCCAAAACAACCATCTCTGCTATTCAACAATTCGAAGAACACCTCAACTCTGACATTTCCCAAAAGTATCAATCATACGAAACCAAGATCATTTCTCTGACCACTAAATTGAATACTCTAGAGAAAAAATTATCTCTTCTCAAGAAACCAAAAGAGCAAAAGAAGGAAGAAATTATACCACCCAGCACGCCAAAGAATGATGAGCATGACGCTGCTATAAAATTCATGGAAATGATGACAGAAGTTGGTTTCACATATGCAAAAGAAGATTATGAAAGAATGAGAGGAAAATCCATATTTTCACTTCTCAGAACCGGCAACAAGTTGTCAGGAGAAAATTCTGAACAGTTTTATTCTCAAGAATTAGACTTTGCTGAGAAAGCTCTCTCCAAATGGCTTATGCAATTGGTGAAGAATGATTTCCAAGCAGATTTGTCATTATATCAAAATATGTTGGATGGCGTAATTTTGTGTAAATATGCCAACACATTATTCCCAGAAATTGAGCCATGCAAAAAGTTGAAAGAAGAAATCAAAAATAACCAAGATGCAATTGGAAATATTGGACTTTATACTAAATTTTGCAAAGATGTTGGTATTCAATCTGTGTTTGAATATGACTCCCTTGAAGATGCAGCCCAGGATGTAAAGAAGGTCAAAGAAAGAAGCTTGATCATCAGCAATTTAGCATTGCTGTTCGAGCTTTCTATCAAGTGCTCAGATCCAAAAAAGAGAAACAAGTATTTGAAAGCTTTACAACAGCAACACATGAATCAATATGCTGAATCACCAATGTCTTCAAGAGGAGGTGCCTTTTCCGCACGAAGAACCAATAGTTTTAAATTATCCAACCTTCCAATTATTGCCATGACAAATGTGGAACCATCCAATGACGGTTCCATCACAGATAGAAAAAAGAATATCGAAGGAATCAAATCTAGTCGTACCAAAGCATTTGAACACGCCACAACTAGGACAAAATTATCAGGAGCTGAAGAAGAAAAATACTTTAAAGAAACACTGTCACACATGTTAGAAATTCCAACTTCTGATATGAAATTGTCGGATTTAATTGAGGATGGAACCATGCTATGCTTATTGATCAACAAATATTATGGAGATAACAGTTGTAAATTCAAGAAACATCCAAACAGATTTGAGAAGAGCGGAAATATTACACATTTCAATAATGCTGTCCACAAATTAATTCCTGCCTCAGCCAATACAACTTGCACGCATGAAGAAATTGAAAAGGGATCCATGAAGAATGTCTTTTCAATGCTGCGTTTCGTTATTGACGATTTAGAAAAACAAGGAAGAATTTCACTTGCTCCTAATGCTGAATATGACCAATGGATGCAAAAGGTTCAGCAAATCGATCAAATTGAAGGATGTACGAGTCCTCATCCAACGAACTTTTCATTGAGCCCTGGCACTGAGGAACGAGCGGCCATGAACAATTCATTCAAAATCTCGAATTCTTTTATGGATAAGGCCATTGTCAACAAGCCATCCAAAAACACCCTTCAAATTCCAATTACAAATGTATTCTTTAGTGGTCTTGCTAAGAAAGTACAAAGTGAAGGTAATTTGGAGAACAGTAGTAGTGGAGAAGCAATTCCTCTCTCTGCACGAACTCCAAAGAGTTCCAGATATGAAAAAGACTTTGGAAATGCAGTGGCTGAAATGATTTTCTCTCCAAAACGAGCACCACCTCGAAAAGGTTCATTTGCAAGTGCCCTTCGCAATTCACCACCACAACAACAAGAAACTGAAGCCAGTCCACGACGAATTTCAAGTGTCACAACACCCAGCAGTCCAAGAAATCCTCTTCTCTCCAATGTTACGGATCCAACGAGTCCAAAAGGTCGTGCTCGATCAAACACAGGAAGTCCAAGAAGACTTTTTTCACCAAGTCCAATTCAACCAGTCTTTGCAACGACACTTAATTATCCTAATACTCCAGCTGCCACGTATAGCTCTGGTGATGATGGTGATTCTGAAGTTGAAGATAGTTTGGAATCTCTTATTGAACTTTTGAAATTGTGCCAATCTGCTTCTGACAGCGCTGACATTGTATTTAGTGTTTACTTTGATGATGCACAATCATTCTTTGAAACTCGAGAACAAAAAGAAGAATTTATGGATCAATTTGAAGGTGGTAACTTTAAATGTTTGGATTTCTCAAATTGTGCCAAATATATGGATCAGAATGTATTTACTGAAGTCTTACAAAAATTGAGAAATAATAAGCATTTGAAGATTCTCAATTTGAGTGGCAATGGAAGTGTCGTTTCAAGCGAATCCATCAAAGATTTGCTGACAGGGGCCATTCTACTCGAAAAGATTATTCTCAAACAATTCACATCGGTTTGGACACTTGAACAACTTGACACGATTCGAAATATTTGCAAACGAAAGGCCATTAAACTCGAGCTGTAATTTGGATTTATCTTCACAACCTCTCTGATGACATTTCATTATAATGAGCTACTGGACCGTTATCGTCACGGTTATCACAACATCATTCAAATAGCAGCCACTTTAGTACTATCATGATGCAATTTAAACTTTGGAAAGTTTGCCTTAAAAAATCTGCAACCCGATTGGATTCGAAGCTGCGACGACCACACACGGAGATATCATGATCAAAAAAAACGACATCGCACCAAAAGTGCAAACAATCATTGTGCCAAAATTTCATCATCAAGTGTCGGAAGCAAGAGAATCCAAGTACATTGATGTGGGTGAACGATCGTCATTTACAAAATCATTAAAGAGATATCATCATTAGCGAATTTATCGGATTGTCATGATGACCGACCAGCCGCAGCAACAAGATGTTGCGGATGATGATCATGTTACCAAGACTGATATGAACAATAATAGTGCCGCGACTATTCAAGAAGAAGAAGAACAACAACAATACCCTTCAACCATCACAACATCTTCATCATCCTCTTCATCGCCTTGCAACGATCAGCAACAACAACAACAACTTCAACAAAATGATTCCTCTCAAAAGTACCATCCGATTGCATGTACGTAATTGTTTTACCATAAAGTAGTATCATCTAACACGTTCATCTTTTGATCGGACCTTGGAAAATTTGGAATCGGTTTTATATTCTGATATTTGATTTTTAATGGTCTGATCGGAACGAATCATGGATTTAATAGGCGAGGCATGCAGAAAGAAACATAAGAAATGTGATAGGACTGTAGGTGTTAATAGTTTTATGAACCGTGTTTTATTATTTACATGTTACAAATAATATTGTAAAAGCTTCCGTGTTGCATTGAATGCACTCGAAGAGGACTGAATTGCGTTTACTATGAACCTAAAAAGGAATATCTTCAGAAGATGATGCAAGAGGGGATTGTTGTGAGACCCCAAAAACCATTAACCAAAAAGCCAAAAGATTTTCAAGTAGTTTCATTTCGTGTCGAGTCGCCAAGAGCTCAACAAAACACTTTCACACATTATGCATATAATCCTGACATTAGTGGTTTGTCTCGATATGATGCAAGTGGAGGACAATCAACAAATTTTCCATCAAACTTTATCCAACATTCTCAAGAGAAAGTGAAAACAAAAAAGAAGAAAAAATTGATGAAAACGCAGAGCATGACAAATCCAACTTCAATTATTCCTCCTCAGCAATCATATCCAACACAACCTGGTATATTATCAACACTTATTTCGCAGACTAGTACAAATCCTAGTGCCACAACAACTACTACTGCCTATCCCAGTACTGTCTATAACCAAACTGTACCTACAACAGTGTCACAAACGCGTTATACTGAGCCACAGCTTCTCAGTACCTATGAAACAACAAACAACCAAAATTATTTATCGCAACAAGATACTCTTCCAACCAGCACCATAGCCAGCAAGTACAATGCAATATCCGATAATTATCATCAACCCACATTTTCAAACAACAGCGCCAAGAGTCATGATTTATCAATCACACAGCAGTTGTCAACATCCCCTTCTCATTCTCATTCCACTTCTTCATTACATAATTATAGATATCAGCCATATAACCCACCTAGTTCCGTTGCTCTTCAATCTTCCTCAGTTACTGCTGCCACTACGTCTCTGAGTCCATCACAAAAGCCATTATCTGATCCAACATCTTCTGTAAATGCATTAAGCGTAAAATCACCACGTGTACAAAACAGTCCCAGGTCAAATTTAACTCATTCATCACATAGCGACAGCAGCAGTAATAAGGAAGGAAGTGATGCAAGCAGTAGTATGCATTCATTGTTTTTACAAGACCTTCTCAACACTTCATACATGAAAATTAACACTTTTGAATACTACCATAGATATGTTGTTTATGGCTTTCGGCTATTTTCTCAGGAGCTGATTGAGCAAACAATTTTTGGAGAAGATTTAAAAGTGACAATGAGTGACATTTTCCGAAATCCAAATTGCTTTTTCCAACATCCCGAGTTTTCGAAACATACCAACGAAAGTATTCAACACTTGAAAAAGTCAGAAATTCTCTCCTTACTCTATACTGTACATGCGGTTGTTTGCTCATTCAATGGCTATCAACAACAGGCTGAAACATCAATTCGTCGATCATTTGAAATCAGCTATAGAGGAAGTGTTTTCAGGGATATTTTGCAATTATTCTATGACCCTAGCTTTCCTGAAGAGTTGGTGGGCTCGATAGTACTAAGACACGGTCCTCAAAACGATTTTTTAATTCAAACAGATAGAGCTTTTTATTCATTCCGACTTGGTAGATTTCTCCTTTCAGCACTGTATGCATTGAGTAATGCGAATCTAGGCCTTGCTAAATACTTTTTACTCAAATCAGACGAAATGCTTGATAATGACTCTCCAAATTTCAAATCTAGACGTTACATTAATTATTCAGTATCAATGGAATCGAAGGAAGGAAGTGATTACTCTATTTTTGCAGTTCCCGATCTTCAAGTGATTTCGTTTTGTAAATTTAGAATTACTACTGGAATGTCCTATGACAATGTCAGAAATTACTTACAACGTGGTGACATTTTTTATGGTTATGAAAACAGCATTCCAAAACCACTGGTCGTTACCAAGACGTCATCGGTCTTGAGGGATGCTCCTGAATTTCAATTTGACCACAACGTTCTAAGAATGATGGCAGGCAATCATGTTATTAACATGGGAAAGCTTCCAATGGAGATTTTACTTATTACCACGTTGAGAAATATCACAGTAGATAACATTGAGCTATTTTTGATGCTTAATATATTGGTGCTTAAAGAAGGAGCTCATTATATGTTTGATATGAAGATAGATCCAATCACTATCTCTTACGCACAATCCCTAAGAAAATTTACTATTTATTCAGTGTTAATCGACTTGTTGTCAGTCATACTTGAAAATTTACCCTATGATGAAGAACCATCCGTTGGTAATCCAACTGTGGCCAGACTTGAGAACATTTTCAAGAATTTTGATGAGGCTGTCGCTGGAGGGCTTAGTGAAAACTTGAAAAAGTGGAATTTTTCCAATTTGACCGAGTATGAATTGGAAAAATTGAGAGAAGGATCCACTCCAAATGAACCTTCTATTTTTTCTCTGCTGTCTAGTCGAGATTCCACAGCGACAACTCCTTCCAGTGAACCAACCTCTGTACGGGCAACAGTTGAAAAATTATTGACTTTATACTGTGACAGATTTGCTGACAATTTGAGAGAATTCTCGTAAGTTTAACGTAATTTATTCATGATTCATGAACCTTGTTTTTCACAAATTATTAGTAAGGAAACAATTATATTTAACAACGGAGATATGTTAGTACTTCGTACAGCTTGTTTGGTACATTTGAGACAAGCTGAAACAATTTTGCAACGAGTGCCGCTTCCTTTAGCAGATCGAATGGAGCTTGCCAATCGATTACATCCAATTCTCACAACAGAATTCAATATCATCACTTATTTACAGCAGAAATTTCCAAAAATTTACTTTAGAACGTTTTCTTTTTCCAATCGGCTTGAGACCATGTTAGAGAGAATTCAAACAGCGATTTCCAGTGGAGCGCAATTGTGAAAGAAAATATGTAATAAAAGCAACAAGATTTTAGCATGCGTGAACAGTAGGTATTCACAGTATTCCCTATCTCATGAAGAGGATTAATTTAAAAAGAAATTATTGAAACACAACAAGTAACCATGATGGTCAAATTAATAGATCCAGCAACGACTCAACCTACATCCAATAGCGAGACCACCAATATTTCACATCGACAAGAACATGTAACAACGTTGAATTGTACAAAAATATCTCACAAACGTCTTATTTTCAAAATTTGTACAAAATTGATTGAATATTCAAATTGTGCTACTCGAGCAACATTCAAGTCACTAATCATTATAGTGAAAATTTAAGGGTTATGTCATTCAAAAAAACCCTTCACATTCTTACAAAATTTGGTTCAAAAAATCATTTAAGCATAAGTATCAACCTTCTTGGCATAGGTATCAACGTTCTTTGCATAAGTGTCAATCTTGACTCTCTTGCAAACCTTCTTCTTCTTGGCACATACTTTCTTTTGTGCGTGTTTGGCACAGACCTTCTTTCCCTTAGTCCACTTGTGCTTCTTACAGACTCTCTTTCCCTTAGATTTCTTCACACACTTCTTGGTATGCTTGTAATGAATGCACTTGGATGGGAATGTCTTCTTCTTGATACAATATTTCTTAGTCTTGTATTGACAACAAGTCTTGACATTCTTATGCTTCTTACAGAATGAAACCTTCTTGAAACGAGCACAGAACTTCTTTGTGGCATGCTTGACACACTTTTTTTCAGTCTTGTGCTTTTTACAGAATTTTCTAGTTTGATGCTTGACACACTTCTTCTTGTATCCACAGACTCTACATTTACGAACCACTCTGCACTTTCTTGGAGCATACGAGTCGACGTACTTGTCACAGACCTTCTTTTGAGTACACTTCTTAATTGGAGTCTTTTTGAATTTCTTACAAGTCTTCTTGGTTCCATAAGAACAACACTTCTTTACGTTCTTATGCTTGACACAATATTTACGAGTGGAATGCTTCTTACAGACCTTCTTGGATCCATAACTGTCGCAGACCTTCTTGGTTTCATGCTTGGCACAATATCTCTTTTTCTTGTGCTTGACACATTTAGTGACAGCCTTACTGTACTTGTCACAGACTGAATTTCGTTTGTACTTGAGACAACGTCCCTTTCCTACAACGGCATACTTGTCGCAAACCTTCTTTCTACCAACAGTCTTGTGCTTGATGCATTTTCCTTGGACATACTTGTGGAGAACACACTTCTTCTTACATTCTCGTTTGTAAGAATCGACTGGCTTGTAGGTGTCAACTGGTGGCTTGTAAGTGTCGACAGGTGGTTTGTAGGTGTCGACAGGTTTGTAAGTGTCTGGTTGTTGATAGGAATCAGAACCTCTTACAAGGACAGCTGCTGCAAGTAGGAGTGCGAATAGCAAGACAAGTGTTGTCTTCATGTTGATTGAACTGTTTTTTTTGTTGGGAAGGATGGCTTCAATAAGATGGCGCAATTTATAGGTTGGCAATTGACATCTCTGAATGGAAAATGAAACCAAACGGAATGCGTCATGTTTGAGGATTGTGTATGAATCAGTATAAAACAACAAAGCAAGAACGGTATGCTGGTCTTGTTCATGTTCTAAAAATGGAAAGACAAGTGAAGGAATTTCGTTGAAAATGGTCGGTCTGTTTAAATACTAATTGTAAAAAATTAGATCATTACTGAATTTTCAAGTTCGACAAGTTAGAACGTACACTCTATAAGCAGGCCATTTTTCAGTCTATAAGGAAAACGAATGATCACTCAATGAGCGGCAATGATTCTTTTAGTATTGTTGTTTTTAAGGAAATTTGTTTTGGTTTCCTCAAAGAGTCTCCTTTTTGTGAAGCAAGTTAAGATTGAGCGATCATTTCGATCGCATGCGCAAGGATTCGTTCTCGAGTCGTTTACAGTATTTTCTCATTGCAAGTTAGAAGATCATTGATAAAGCCTTATTTGAAAAACATGATTCGATGATTTTCATGGTCACATACAATAAGTTCTCCTGTCAACTCATTCAAGCATATTCCTTTCGGATTATTAAGTTGACCATTGGAAAATGATTTAAATAACTCATTTTGAGGTGAGTAGATTACTATTCTGTGATTATGACTATCGCTAACAATGAAATGTTTCGTCAAATAATCAATTATGAATGAGTCAGGAAAATGAAGGGCTCCATCCAGTGGTCCAACATGACCAAATTTTTCTTTAAACTCCCATTGACTTTTCTCACTCTTTTGAAAAACAAAAATTGTGTGTGTGGATTCAATCTTGAAGGTTGGCGCTTGTATCAATGACTGATGAGCACCAACATATAAAACCTGATAATCAGGTGAAAAACAAACTCCATAAGGACTGCTTTCAACTTGAATTGTGGATAGTAATTTTCCTGAGCATGAGTCCAAAACTTTCAAACATTGATTATAGCTGTCCGCAACATACACTCTGTTTTGACAAACTGCAATTCCTTGAGGTTGTTTAAAGAGTGTAGATTTCCAAATGTAACTGTTTGCAACTTTGGAAATGGAATTCATGGATAGCTCAAGAATATCGTTCAAGTCATACTTAAAAACCGAGGGACGATTCGTACAACCAAACAATAAGGCATCATTGAGACCATCATAATCCGCTTCCACATATAAATATCTTGGACATTTTGAAGGAGAAGGAATTGAAGTTATATATTCGTTGGACAGCAAGTGAAATACCTGAATTCTATGATTTTTCAAGTCGGAAATCAATATCACTTGACATTTGTAAGATATCTTGACATCAAAAGGTAATGAAAAATGTTGTGGAGAACAAGTATCAACCCCTGCTTCTCCCAATGAATGAACGAGCTCAAAATTCATTACGAAGGGTTTAATTCGCCTTCCTTTTTTTCCCCACAACATTTTTTCTCTGAATTTCTTCATGACTCGTTGATGATGATGATCGGAATCTTTTTGGGTTATGAAATCATCATGAAGAAATAATTTGGTACACTTCTCCTCTGCAGATGAATTGAATGGATGATATTCATTCTCAATGGGTAAATAATGATCATCTCTTCCATAGTGAGGAGGATCAAGTTCAAACAAATCATCCCATTCAGAAGATCGTTGTTCCATTTTTTGAGATTGTGTGTTGTGCAATTTTCAATTTGCTTCCATACCAATTTATTGTAACAAGTGTCAAACACGTGCTTGTTCGGAAATGTTCCAGTTCCATAACGCTATGTGTTGAAATTGCACTTGTTGTTTGGTCATTTGATGGGTTGGTCATTTACAATTCAATCTTGGTTCCCAAAAGTTGAATAAAAGCTCTCAACCATTCAGGATGTCCTGGCCATGCAACACCAGTGACAATGTTTCCAGAAACAACTGCACCATCTGCCTTACAATCCACCCATTCAGCTCCAGCATTGATGATATCATGTTTACAAGCAAAATAAGCTGCAATCTTTTTGCCTTTGATGGCTCCTGGAATGGCAGTTAAAATCAAAGGTCCATGGCTATAGATTCATTGGATTAATCATCGTCATTAATTTGTGAATATTGATAGATTCATGATGCAAATTCATGAAATTGAATTTTCGTAAACGGCAACGAGTTCACAAAAAATTGAATTTCTTAAGATTATTTCAACCTTATCCACTTACCAAATCGATGCAATGGGCTTGTTGGAGTCAACAAAATGTTTGACAATATTCAAAACATTATCGTTCAATCTTAAATATTCTGGAGCTCTACCACCTAGTCATTGGTCACGTTTAAATGTGACCAAATCATGAATTAATTCAAAGTGGACATTTCCATAAATACATAAATATATTCATAAAATTAATAATCATGATCATACCTGGAAGAACAATAGCTCCATATCGATCCAAATTATTCAATACTTCATCAAAATCAGCATTAATTTGAAAATTATGTCCTTTCAATTCCGTATAAGTTTGTTCTCCTGGAAGAAAATCATGAACAGCAGTAACCACCTTATCACCCTTCTTCTTTCCTGGAGAAATGACAGAAACTTGATGACCAATCATTTCCAAAGCTTTTTTCATTGATCAATATTACAAGTCATCAACATTATGATTCATGGGTTCATATTCATACCGATGATATGGTAGATGAGTAAATTTAGTCATGATGAAGTTCAAATATTCATTGTACGATCAAGACTAGGATATTTACCTTGGAAAGGAACCATTGCTTCATAATCCTCCACTACATTCATTGAAAACAAAATATTAATCATGATCAGTCAATATGAGAATGGATCAATGCGATGATCATCATGTCGGAAAATCAATTACATTCATGACCTACCATAATCTCCAACAATCATAACAATTTGCTGTTGAACCATTTTTTAAGATTGAAGACGAAAGATTGAGAGTCCACCAAGAGTCCAAATCGAGTGTGAACAATGAAACATGTTTAAGCGTTGGTACACTCTTAGTGTCTTTACATATAAAAATCTTGGAACAAAGGAGGTTAGAATCGATTAGATGCACAAACAGAAGGTTCTCAAGTCCTTCGAATAGAATCAAAAACAGCTTGACTTCAACTCATTCAAAGAGGATTTATCATCCATGATTCCCCTTCTAAATGCATCTTTTTCTTCCATTCACACGTGGTGCACCATCATTACAGAAAGATTCTTTCCAACAAAGGCTTCAAAATAAAACAAGTCGAAGAAGGAAACAAAAGATTCCTCTCTCTCTTCATCACGGTTCAAATTGTAACCCTCCTACAAAAATTCCTTTTCCATTCCGAACTGAGTGTCCTTCCTCAGCGATTCACTGAGAGATTGAGTTTATATTGAACACACACTACTACTTGAAGAGCATCATCACGTACGCACCTATTTATTGGACAAACTTCACCAGGAGAGAAAAGGCTTTTCATTGGTGGTACCAAGCACTTAAAAATTTACAAGTTCATTCCCTCTCTCTTCCTTTCCATTAACATCTTCCTTTTCATCATCAACTCCATCATCAATTTGGCTGCTTGTTGGGTATTGCTATTAGCCTTTTATCCACAGAATCATCATCAACGGAAACAAAAGTAGTTAATCTCACCTCCTTCAATTTCTCTTTCTTGTAGTAATAATTACATCATATTCCGCATTCACAACAAGAGAGATTCAACAAGTTATTACATCATCATAAGAGCAATATCAATACCGAAAAGCAATCATCATAGTTTCCATCATCAACAAATTTATGCTGAATATAACAGAATGAGTAACAATTATAATACAAGAACACAACCATCCTATACCACACCATCAAAGGATGAGATTGGAAAAACATCATCACTCAATACTCCCATACATTCCCATGTTGGTGTAACTCCCTTGAGGACAACTCCACCCAATACAATCGTATCGGCAACACCAACAAGTAGCAGCGCCATAAGAGGCACATCAGCAGCTCTTAGAGATCCTCAGGAACCACTCTACTACAGTAGTCATGATCATGTAAGTTGAATATTGTGAGTCGTTGAAGTCTAACAAGCCATCACCAAAAATCTAATGGTGGTATTGTCGCATCATGTTACATTATCACTTCGAAACACAAATTTGACAAACGATCCCACTTTGTTTGCTCTTCTATTGATCTTTCCATCATCAATCGCAACAAACGCTTGTCAACAAACACCTTCAACCACGACAAAAAACAACACACAAACCGCTCAAATTCGACCACATTCTCATCCTGTAAACCGTACACAGAACAATATGCATTCTTCATACGCTCAACAGCCACAACAGACGTTCTACGCGTATAGCCCAAGCACCAATCTCAATGTTAATTCTCTTCCCTACTCCAATACCACCTCCAACTTCTCAAATCCTGCAACACCCAGCAACAGCGCTGTCCTTCCATCATCAAACATGATTTTCCCACAATCTACCAGTTCCTTCTCTCTTCCATCTGTAAATTACAATTCAACATCGAATAATCCAAGCAATGTAGCATCAATGAGTAATAGCCGTGCAAGAGTTCAAGGAACAACAACACCCACCTCCAATTTTCAACAGCAGTCTGCACTCTATTCCAATCCTCACCCTTCAACGTTGTCATCAACAGCCGGCACAGCAACAATGGGATACAATACTCACCGCAGTCCCGGAACGCTTGCAAGCAATATTGTAACAGATTCACAACTTGCTTACATTCGTCAACCACAATATATCCAACAGATTCCAGAAGGTTCGGGCTCATACATAGACCCGCAACTAATGCCAATAAGAGGAGAGCAACAACCAGTCCAATTATTGACATCATCGAAGGCCCAACGGGCCGGAGTACAATACAGTTATGAACAATACTTGCCAACGACCAATACTGGTTCGAGCAATCAATTATTACATCCTTCATCAAGTCAGCACTACCAACCACGTCCAACAAGTAGCTTGAGCAATCAAATACCAACATCATCTGGTAGTCCTCAGGGTGGAAACGTCATGCAAACAAACTATAATACATATGGTACTACCACTTCCAGTTATTATCAACAGCAATATGGAAATATGACAAGCTATCCAACCACTCATAACACTCCAAAAACAGTGACACTTTCTAGAACAAATAGCACGCAATTGGTACCAGGATCTTCAATGACTTGTCCGATCGTTGTCACAGATGATCATGGCCAAACATTACAACGACAAAATCCGATGTCCCAAAATTATATTCAAAATATGAATTCACGAAGTTATTCGCCAGCAATTTATAACGGAGGCCATCAACAACAACAACATTATACCTCGTATGCTCAACCTCAAGCAAATCAATATATTGTTACCACTTCAACACCTCCTCAAATGCCACCCCCACAAAATCATATTGCCACAGTTTCCCAAGCTCAACCATCGACATCAAACAGCAATTATCCTGTGGGATTGTTAGTTGGATCAAAATATAGGCTCATGAATAAGATTGGAAATGGAGCTTTTGGCGAAGTTTTTCTAGCTCAAAACACAGATCAATCACAAGATTTTTATGCAGTCAAGCTAGAGACAATACCAACGCCTCAAAACGGGCAAAACAATGGCGGAAAACAACAATTAATTTTTGAAGCGAAGGTTCTGTCATATCTTTTCAATGCACCACCAAACTCTACTTCTTCATCTAATGGTAGTACGAATAACAACACTCAGCAAAACCAACCCGCTGTGGGAATACCTCGCGTGATCTGGTACGGAACTGAGAGTTCGTTTAATATTATGGTCATGGAACTTCTTGGACAAAGCTTGGAGAGCTTATTCAAGAAATGTAATCGCAAGTTTTCCTTAAAAACGGTTTTAATGCTGGCAGATCAAATGATTCAAAGAATTGAATTCACTCACAGAAGAAACTTTGTACATCGAGACATCAAGCCAGACAACTTTTTGATGGGTAGAAAGGGCTCGAATATGCTGCAATTACTGAATGGGACATCCTATCAGCCGACATCTACAAATGGTAATCTAAACACTGAGAATACTGTATATCTTATTGACTTTGGTTTATCGAAAATGTACTACTCTGAGAAGGGACATATTCCACTCAGGAAAGACAAACACCTGACAGGAACTGCTCGTTATGCAAGCTTGAACAATCACAAGGGCTATGAACAATCAAGAAGAGACGATCTAGAGTCCCTTGGTTATGTCTTGCTTTACTTTTTGAAAGGTGCTTTACCATGGCAGGGACTTACAGGAAATACCAAAGAAGATCACTACAACAATATCTATCACAAGAAGAAAAATATCAAAGTTGTTTCTCTATGCAAAGGGTTCCCAGTTGAGTTTGCAACCTATCTCAACTATGCTCGTGGCTTGAAGTTTTATCAAGAGCCTGACTATCTCTACCTGAGGAATTTATTCTTAAATTTGTTCATTAGAGAAAAGTTCTCATTAGATTATGAATGGGACTGGATTGTGCAAGATCGAAAGAGTGAACGCCAAAAATAAACAATAAGAACTTGCAAGAGATGAAAAATCGTAGAGTTTGGTTTAAAAATTCAAGTAAGGTAATTCCTTAAAAAAATGTCTCGACAAGAAACAAGTGTTGTTAAAGAAGACGAGCTTCAAACAACCACGACTTGCGATACTCAAGATCTTGAGGAACCCATTCCAATGAAACACAAGCCAACTATTTTAGAGGAGTTTTTAACATCTTCCTATCATTCCTATGTAGAGGTAATAAAACCTTTTGAAATGAATCATCGTTCGGATTTTGAAAAGCTGTCTGCGTTGCTCGCACGCAAATCCACTGCCTCCAAAACACAACATCAATCCCTTGTAGAACGACTTGAAACCTTACTCGAAAAAGTATCAGTCAGCAGTCTTTCCGGAGTCGACGATCACAAGAGTCTCTCCACTTCTCTCAACCATTCCTTCTTCGAGTTTAGAAATATCAGAGACATGTTCAACAATGACATTGACTCAAACATGAGCATCGTGAGTGAGGAAGATGTTGCCATTCTTGCCTCTCATTGTCTCTACATGCTTGAATACTATAATACCATATCGAGTGAATTTAGAGACCAAAAAAAACTCTTACTTGTGTTGAGAGTTATTGTCAATTATTCAGAAAATAATCCAACAACGAATACACTGAGAAGAGAGCAACTCAAACGAAGAGCAAAGTTTATGAATCATATATTGTCCGAGTCTGAGAGATTTCAACAATTACTTTGTAAATTCATGACATTCTCTAATGATCCTAATGATAAGGTTCAATATCTGTGCGCTAAATGTTTGAGTAATTTCATGAAAAATCAATCAAAAGTGTTGAATCAGAATGAGGGTGTGACTGGTCAGCAGCAACAGAAAAAAGTGTTTGCGTTGAATGTAGATACTCTTCGAGTGATTGGCATGTGTTTGGAAACACTGTGTGACAAGTTGCTTGTGAAAAATGCTGAGACCTTTGTTCATGTCCATTTCTATCAATTGTTGATTAACATCTTGTATGATCATTATATTGAACTTCATGGTGTAGAGATGAGTATCCGTCATGAAGAACCTAGTCGTCAAGAGGTCGTAGATTTGTATGTTCATACTCAGGTGAAAAAATTGCTCAATTGTACCAATCAAAATTCAACATTTGTGAAATGTCTATCTCTGATTCAGAAACATGTCGAGAAAATGATTACTTCCAATGAGAGTGATAGTTGTGCATTGAATTCTAACGATATTTCCAAATTGGTTAGGGTAAGTTCAATCGTCGACATGATTCATCATGATTTCACACAAATATTGGTGGATGTTAAGTCGTTACTACATGAGGAGGCAAACGTTATTCAATTAGCTTCTGAATTGTTGTTGAGATTCAGCGATACACTCACTGAAGAAAATAAGGAGACCATTGTGACATGCCTCTTTTCACATAATTTGGTATGCTTCAACAGAAATCAAACTCAGAGTGCATACAAGGCTAGTGTGAATGCACTAATAGAATGGTCCACTCGTGATACGTACTTGGAGGAAAAACTGTCGAGCTTTGTAAATGATCCAGTAGTGGCAGAGTCCTATGATCGTGCCATAGTTTCTATTCGAAACGATAGAGAACAATACAAGTTACACTGTGATCGTGTCAAACGTCTTGTGTAGAGTATTGCTAGGTGAGTGTCTCGCTATTTAGGGACATCTTCTCAAGTAAAATCTTCATTCTTCCGACAACTTGTTTTGATGAGAGTCTCTCGGAAACATCTTCTTTCCACATATCTTCAATAATTTGAATAAAATCTCTAACATTTTCATCTATAACTATGAGAGATGATTTCAACATTTCTAAAAGATTCATTCTGAACGGTGGCGAGGCATGTCTTTCAATTTTTTCTTTCACATCTAACACGTTCATTCCAGGATATGGTTTTGAAAGAGTTAAAATCTCACAAAACACAATGGATAACGAAAACACGTCGGATTTTTGACAAAACTTGCTTTGTTTCATAACTTCTGGGGCCATCCAATAAATGGTTCCGTGAGGTTGAAACGGTGTCAAATGATCTTGTTGTTGAATGTCCACAATTTTCGAGTCACAAAAATCAGCAATTCTAACATTCAGATGTTTGTCAATTAAAAAATTCAAAGACTTGACATCTAAATGAGCATATTTGCTGTTTTCATGAATTTCCATCAATGCAAGTGCCATGTCATGGGCAAGCATCATTTTGTTTTAAAATCCGTTTGAATGGACTTGATCAATTCAATCTCTTGATTTGAACGAATTCTCTCGTTAACACTTGCTGAGTCATTCTTGTTGGCATGTTGTTTGGCAGTATTCGTTGTAAAATGAATAATTGAATGTAAATCTCCCAAATCCATAAATTCCATCACAATCCAAAAAACAGGATTCTCAAAACAATATCCAACCAATTGTGTAATTTTTTTACATCCACATTGACCCAGTCGATTCATAATCAACAATTCATCTTTAAATTTCAGAATATTTCGTTCTAATTGTGCTCTATTCGCCAACATCTTTTTTCCAGCATAAATTTTGGATGAATTTACAATCTTTACTTGATACACTTCCGCAAAGCCTCCCGTAGCAATTTTGCTCACAATCTCAATTTCATTGGATTTGAATGATTGTACATGTTTTAATTGTTGTAATTCTTGCTCGGAAAGATTCGTTTTGTTGGATCCAACAATTTTGAAATCATTATTTTGTATATTAATTCTATCATCATCGCCAAATACCAAACGTCGTTGTTCCCTACTACTACTGCTACTACTGGATGAAACACTCGGATCCGACAAGGAATTGGATCTCTTTCTCATAGCGTCGTTGTGTTTCAATACAATCGTAGGATCTTGATTCGTAATATTTTTTTTTTTAAATAGTTCCTTGTTCTTCTTTCTAATCGTTTATGAAACTCTTTCACCTCAAAGAATCTGTAGTTCATAGAATCTTTCAGTTTGAAGAGGATGATGATTCTTCAAGGATATTCCAGGTCAAGTTTTGATTTTGTCCAAATATGGCCATCTTCTCTTTTATGTCAATTACCTACTCTAAAAAACCTCTCAAACGTTTCATCTTCACGAGTTTTTTCAGGTCATATGTGACTCTGTAAAATTTTCTCTCGTTTTGTGTGGTACCTAATTTTTGTCCAAATACGTTAACGCTGAGTTTTTATCCAAGCTGGATTCATGTTTTTTCTCATGGTCACATTGTTGTGTCTTTGGATAGTTTGAAAGCTTTGAATACGTTACATTTATGATTTTTCCATGCAGTTGCATTTATGTGAATCCGTTCTTGCGATTTTGTACGTTCGTATCATGAATGAATAAGAAAGGTTGAATAAGCGTTCTGCTACTAGTAGAGAAGAGAAACGAATATTCTTTGGCCTTGGAACAAATTGAGCCAACGGTCTGATTTTGGTGCATCTGCATTCCGAAAAAGGAGATTTTTTGAGAACACGAATATTCTCTTGGGGCATGATAAAACAACACACGCCAAACGTCAAACAGTAGTGATTCATCAATATAAAAAAAACGAGTACTACTACTTCTCTCTACTAACCCAATACTACCACTTTACCATGGCAACCAGCACAGTCTCCCCAGCTTTCCAACAACTCTTGTGTGAAATGATCACTGCCTGTGCCAAGAACGATCCAAATGCGTTTCTCTCAAGTTATCAAACGCTTCAACAACAATATCATTCGATAGGTCCACAACAACAGAAACCATCACAAGAATCCATTTCGGAGAATCCCTGTCCTTCATCGGTAACATCTTCGGAATCAAAAATTCAAATTATCGAACACTCCACTTGTGCTTTATCATCCTCTTCGTCCGATGAAAGAAGTGTCGATCATGATTCGAAACCAAAGAAAATTTCAAAGAGATATACGAAATTGAGAAAACAATTGAAGGCCTGTGAAAATTTCAAAGATAATTACTTTGTGTTTAGTACGACAACGACGTCGAAACCTGCAAATTCTGCACAAGGAAAGAAGAAGAGAAATTCTGCAAAGAAGAGAAGCAAGGATTGTGAAGAATTGTCGACATCTGGCAGCGACCAAGAATCTCCTCGATTGACAAGTGACAGCAAGAAGCGAAAAGTCACTCAGCATTCCCAAGATCATTCGACATCGTCCGTGGTTATGGACTCTTCTTTTGAACAACAATATCAACAACTAATGAATACTTGGAACGCACTCCAACAATTTGTAGATACTTCCTCCTTGAACACCTCCGAACCATCTCACGTCACACCAAATCAACAATGTGAAATTTTAGAGGAACAAACAGTTCCTGATTTCTTTTCAAGTGAAAACCCCTTGGAAAATTCCTTAGAATTAGACAGTATTTTCAATCACCCAACGACGGATTTTAATTTTTCGACGTCGTCCTTAATGGATCTTCCAGAATCACCCAACAACTTTTCCAATCTCTTCTCAGAATTACTTACAATAGCCAATGATAAATTTACATAATTTCCTTACAACGTGTTTTTGAATGAGTCTAAATGAAAAATTGTGTGGAATACATGCGAGCACATGACAGAGAACAGACTAAAGTTGTTGCAGCTGTTCAAAAGCGTCTTGCAACTGAAGGATTCTCCTCAACCAACATGCACCGTTGTTGAGTTCCATGAACCCAAATCCATAAAAAATGCAAGAAATTTTCTCGTCATCATTTCTATTATACACAAGTCGTTTATTGGAGGAAGAAATAGTTGGAGTGGCTCTTATTGTCATGATCCTTGTTCTTGCGGCAATGGTATTATATATTGTTTTGAGTGAATATTTAACTCGGAGACAAATTCTTGAGACAAGTTGTCGTTTCATTCGACACAAAGCTTCATCGGCCTTTCTTGGAGCAACAATATCCTTCGAATCAACATCAACGCCACATGTCATTATTGGTGGTGGTATTGCAGGACTATTATGTGCATGTATTTGCAAAAGCTTTTCAATTCCATTCAAACTTTATGAAAAAGATTCACAACGAACAGGTGGATTATTGGGAACCTTTCAAATGATGATGACGAATACAAATAATGGTAGAGAGGAAATTATTGGAATTGCAGAACAGGCTGCCAATGGAATATTATGGTCTCAGGAAGTAGAATATTTATTGACCAAAATTGGAATTTCTGATTTGAATGAGAAACCTGTCAATGTTGACAACACATCATCTCCTATATTAATAACTCCAAAGAAAACAGCCAAAGCAAGATATTTCTATAGAAATGGATCTATTTCTCAACTTCCTTTGACACTTTGGGAAATATTGTACGTATTGTGTTGGAGAATGTGGAGATTGCCTTTAAGAACTGGAAAGAAATCACTTTTTGACACGTTGGAGGAATTTTTCATATTTTACATGGGAGAAACTGTCACGAGACAAATCTTAGAACCAGCATTCAGTGGAATTTATGGAACTACATTGAATAACCTTTCATTTGAAGGTACAATGGTATTATTTCCCAAATTGATGGAACATTCGGTATCTCTTCCTCTTGCTATTGTGAAATATTCATTGAGAAATTTATGGAATAGATGTGTTGAAAAGAAACACGACACAAAGAAAACTCAAAACAAAGTAGGAACCACACATAGCTTTAAATTTGGAATGCAACAATTCATAGATGCTCTTCAAAATTATGTGGGACAAGAACATATCATTTTAGGGAAAACCATTGACAATCTCTGTGAATTTGATTTACAAAATTCTAAAATCATTCTTACAACTCCTGCCTATGAAACATGTAGGATTTTAAATAATACATTCATGACACTTCATGAGAATTCTGACAAATTTGAAGAATGGCAACAGCAAATCATAGACTATTTATCTTCCATACGTTATACCCCAATAATGACATGCACTGTCATTGTGAAAAAGAGCGTATTTCAAAAATGGAAACCTGGTTTTGGATGTTTAATTCCAAGAAATGAAGGCCTGTCCATCATGGGCGTCCTTTTCAATTCTGAAATTTTTGAAGATCGAGTGCTCGATGAAGCAACCAGTGTGAGTATGACAGCCATTCTTCAAGACACGGATCCTAATGTCACCGATGAAAATATCCAACAACGAGTTATTTCTGAACTCGGTCAATTGTTTTGTGAACATGGACATGGGACCATTCAAAGAATATCTCAAATGAAATTGTTTCGATGGAAACATGGTTTGCCACAATATTCTCCCTCTCTACAAGTTGCACGACATGGCATTGATAGATGGTTAAGACACATGTGTCCTAATTTGACATTGTTTGGAAATTATACGGGACAGATATCAATAAGAGGTATGATTACAGAAGCTGTGAAACAAATGTTGAAGGAACAATGAAATCAAATGGTCGTTGACATGATGATTGTTGTTGATGACTAGTTTTCTTTGAGTGTTCAAAAAGTTTATCATTGATGACTTGTCACAAGTGTAGTAAGAATCCTCATTTCTCCACTCCTTGTGTTGGAGAGTGTACAATCGAATGTGTATTCAAACAAGATTTGGTACCGCTTTTGTTGTGATAAGAATTGAATTGTTGTGGTCTAACGGTTGTTGTTGTTGTTGAAGAATAGCCAACTTGTAAATGATTTTCTATCATGAAATGGATCATCGTTGAGGGTCAAATTGGATCAAGTGCTTTTTCGACGATTGGACAAGTGGTAATTTCAAGTCAAGCTCATGCAAGTAAAGTTGGTTCTTTACATTCATCCATGTTTTGCAAATGTAATAAGAGAATCTCCATACAACATGTTTTTGAAATGAATCTAAATGAAAAATTATGTGGAATAAAATGTTTTCATGTTAATCAACAATAGTACGGTGATGTGACAGGATGCACATCGGATCAAAAAGGAATAATTTTATACAATGAACATTAGTATACAATCATCGATCAATGGATTCTAAAGTGAGATAATTCAATCATGATCGTTCTTATTTAAGGCAAATTTAAAACCACCATGAAGACATTCAAATATTTCCCAATTTGATCCTTGAACAAACAAGGGAAAATTTAAGTGTTGGTTCATTGTGAAAAATGTCTCGTGTCGTAAATTTACGAAAAACTACCACCTACTTGATTGGTACTATTATTTCTCGCACAATCTCATAAATCGTTTTAAAAAGAGAAATTTTATAAAATCTCCCTTAACAGCGCTCACTTCTTGCAAAAGATGCATTAGCACGCATCCGAGTTCTTTTATACTATTCAAGCGTACTTTTGAAATTGTATTTTTCGTTTTTCTTTAAAAGTAGATATTTTTGCTCGAGAATATTCGATCGTTTCGGTTAGCATCACCTAAATGCCAAATGTCGAGGAAAATTATGCGTTCAATTTTTAAAAAAAAAACTTTCAGCCCAAATCAAATCGTTGGAAACTTGCACCATGTTGCAACAACAACAAGCACACTCCAACACGTTCCAAAACATTCTCAGCGAAATGCTTCAAGCATGTGCAAGTAACAATGCTGAAGCATTTCTCTCGAGTTTTAAACAACTTCAAAACTTGCAACAACAACCAACCACCGAGTTGGTAATTGGAACCTCTTGTACAAACTCTGATCCTTCTCCAGATGCCTCTCCTCAAGTACAATGTTCCACTTCAACATTTGTCGCTTCCTCAACTTCAAACGAAAATTCAAAAACTTGTCCAACACAATCAACACCCAGGAAAAAGAAATCCAACAAAATTCCCAAACGATATACTCAATTAAGAAAACAATTACGAGATTGTGATCACTTTTCAGAAAATTACTTTGTATTCAATTCGACGTTAACGAATCCATCCGATGATCAGATTGCCTCTTCGAAGCAACAGAAAAGAAATTCTTCGATCAAGCGATCGAATAAGGTGACGACGGAAAAGGATTCTTCGATCGTGTCACGAAAAGATGTGAAACAACGAAGACTTTCGAAATCAAGTGAATCAGAGTCTTCACTGCCCTCCTCTTCTGTAAATTCATCGAACTCAACTCCCTCGAGTCAGAACGAGCAACCCTCAATTCCCATGTATAGTATTATCAATAATGAATCACTTGCCACTTGTCAAACACCAAGTTTCGACGAACAATTTCAACAATTAGTGTCCTCATGGATGACCGTCCAACAATATACTTTCCAACAACAACAACAACAACCCTACTCCCAACCAACTGCCTCCAATGACGAATACAATGCTCTCGACTCAACCCTGTTTCAGGTTGACTTTGAAAGTTTACCTCAATCAGAGAATTATTGTACCTTTAATTTATTTACAGAATCTTTCCTGTAGTCAATAAATGACTGCATTGACTCGTCAACTTCATTTATGTACACAGGTCTTTGTTTGTGTCACCTCTTCCAGTGGATGTTTTAAATATCCTTGTTGAAATCTTCAATTACGACCGCCCAATGAATACCCTTGGCCATCTCCCTTTTTCCTTTTAGTGACCTCAAGATTCTCATTTGGAATTTGTTCTTGAAACAATCATTTAGCCGTCCTTGTTGGCTCTGTGTGTCCACTTTTGCCATGACTTGAACGCAAGCGAACAAATGCGAACCCGTAAATTACGCACGAGGATCGGCAATGCGTAGTCTAAAAGGAGTGCTGTGAAGCACCATTTTGAGAGTTGTTCCCTTTTTAATAATATGCAACAAGTGTGAATGTCATGTTAACAGCAAATGTGAAAGCCACACTTGTCGTGTTCAACATCAAAAAAACCTCTCAAAACACAACAATTCGTACACATGTATACCCTTGAGCAAATAATTCAACTGTTGTTGTCACTTGCCAACACATCGATCCAACACTCACATGTTTCAGAAAACTTGATCTCACATTCCCCTTCACACTCGACTGACGTTTCATCCTCCACAGAAACATCCCTTCCAACTACACCTCTTTCAAATGAAAGTGGTTGTGGTATTCATCAACCAGAGACTCCAACAACCACTTGTCAGGAATCCATTTCTGAGAGTTCTTCTTCACGTGCTGTGACAACTCCTTCAACTTTGAAACAACAAACGAGTTCAGGAAAGAAAATTTCATCTCGATATACCAAACTGCGCAAACAATTGAGAAATTGTGATCATTTCCAAGAGAATTACTTTGTGTTTAACTCTTTCGACGAACCTGAGGAGAACAACACTCGACACTCCAATCCATCTCGAACTTTGAAACGAACCAAAGAGGATTCTTCGAGTGGGCCAACAAGGAATCGAAAACATCGCAAGAAGGACCTTGTTAATACAAACCCGCCGAAGCACTGCTTGCCATTGGATGACGATCCATACACGAGTCCGCAACAACCACAACAACAATTCGAACAACAACAACATAATGATGTCAATGAATTAATTGTACATGAATGGATTCCAGTGGATCCAAGCACATGTACTGCCATGCCGCAACACCTTCCACTTGTTATTGGTAATCATCAGCAAATCTCTTCACAGGTTCATGAAACTCAAATTCTTAATGAGAACATTCAACAAGTTTTCTCAACATTATTCGATTCGACACATCCCGATTTCGAAAGACAATTCCAACAAGTGTTTCAAGCATGGCTCATGGTCAAGCAAGTACTTGCCATGCACTATAATCACTCCAACCATTTCAATTCAGTACCTCAACCAAATATGGATAACATTGTGTTTTCCGATCCCACAGTTGATACTAATTGTTACGAACAAGATAAGGATATGTCTTTTTTATTTGCCAACAATTCCAATAAATAAGATCAATAATTATCATTCATCATGTCACTTTGATTTCTTACATATTTCGAGTGAGTGAAAATTCACTTTCTAAATTCTTGCTTGAAAGAAAAACCAAAGGACGATCGTCGTTGTGAGTCGAAACATTGATTCAAGAGTTGTTCTTCAAGAATTTGTAAACATTTTTCGTATGCTTCCTTCACTTCATCTTCCCAATGTGGATATTCTTGAATTGTTTGTTGATACAACTCTGATAGTCCATCTTCAAGGTTCAATGATTGAATTTGATTCACATACTTTTTCATAAACGTTTGGCCCATGGTTGGTTCCTTAAATTTCATGAGAAGATCCATCACTCGTTTCTGCATTTCGTGTTGTGACATGCCCTTTTCAACATATGGATAGACTGGATCATCAGCATGCGAATCATGATTGTTTCTTTCCGTTTGCAATTGTAATGATGGAAATACGTGCAAAGTGAAATATGAATGGATATCATTGGCTTCTTGAGGATATAATGTCAGAGCATATCGCTGCAATTCATGGAATGTGGATATGGAGAGGGGTTGAGTAGCGCTGAAAAATGCTGAACATCCTTGTATCAATTCAATAATGGACTCAAATTCTTTGACTATTGGGAGCTTTGAGTTCAATAGGTTGCAAAATTGATATTTTCGTTCTTCATGCTGTGGTAACTGTTCTGTTGTTGTATGTAGAAATTGAGATTCTAAATGTTTGAATGCTTTGTCGAGACATGCATCGTGATTCACATTCATCATTTTGGAAGCTTCATAAATGACATCTAGGACTTGATAAATATTAGAATCAATATTTCTATAAATGACACTCTGTACCAATTTTCTTGTACTAGTATTTTTCATGAGTGACAAACCCTTATTAGCTTCTTCGTCGTTTGAGGGTCGAGAGAGCCATTCTTGGACTGCCATTTTTAACAAATCGAGTTTGGATACATGTGCATTTTCTAGATTTTGAATTTCTGATTGAATGAAAGGTTTGTGTGGACAAATCTCAGTTGGAGCGGCGTTATTATTGATATCGTCTTCAATGGCAATAAATAAAGTAGATGATATGGATTCGTCAAGATGGCCAACGTTTGATGAGTTTGGAGTTAGTTTTTGCTTCTTTTTCGAATTTTGCTCATCGGCATTGTCCTCCATTGAATTTGCAAGCTTTCTTGCCTCTTCTTTCAATCTCTTTTTGGGGTGATATGACTCGGGAATATCTTGTGGTGATGGTAAATAAATAGGTTTGGATGTAAAGTAGTTTGTAAATTTTGAGGAGATTCTTTTTTTAAAAAGGTAAATCGAACGCATTTGTATCCATGTGTGACAACCCACTCATACAATTTTTCTTTTCTCAATGTACATTTGTTATTTACAGGGAACAAAGTTTCAATATTGTCAAGTTTCAATGGATATTCTCCGTTGTTGGTGTTACTACTACTTGATCCATTCATGTTTTCATTGGGTTCATTGTCATCCTTATACAAGTAAGCTTCAACTTTGAACGACATCAACCCATGTGTAGAAATTAATAATTTCGCGAATGATGTATAAGTTTTCCTATCTTTCTTAAAAAACATCTTGTTGCTTAAAAATGTTATCAGTTTGTCGGTTTTGTGGTTAATTGTGCGTGTTACTCGGATGAAAGGACATTCTCTGCGTTCCTCAAAATCAAAGCCAGCTAACATTTTTTCGCCCAATGTTCTTTCTTTGGTGTAAAGGCCCTTTGAAATAGTTGGAACCCACAAAATAAAATCAGTCTCTACTTTCGTGTCAGGCGCCCTCAATAATCCTTTCCCCATCTTTGACGAGTGCATGTTAAATTTAAAAACAGCATTCACATTCTCTGGAATTTCAATTGTACAAACTCCATTCTGCAATTTTTTGTAGGTTGTCTTGTCTCCACCTTTTTCAGTCGTTTGAGAAATATATTTCACAGGTTTTTCTGAATTTTCCAAAGTTGAAAGATCAAACTCAAAGCTTAGAACATAACTTCTTGGTACATCTCGCACGAGTGTTACATGAGAAAGTTTCGGCTTGGCGTTTTCAACTCTACAAGTTGGACAAAAGTAACCACAACCCGTAACTCGCAAAGTTCCAATCAAGCCATTCACCAACTCCAACTTGACGGTTTTAGAAAATTTACCACGTCCAATGGATGTCGTAGTAAAAACAATCTCCGATGATGATGTTGTTGTTGTAGATGTAACTACAGGAGCCTCTTCCGATGAAGTCCCCGATGAAGAAGGTGATAAAGTGGTTGCCTCGTCCATCATCCTGGTGATCATCGATCGTAAAACAATATTTTTTTTTGCTGTTTTTTTGCTTACGATGATGAACTGAAAAAAAGTTTTTTTTTTTGGAACGAGGCAACTTGCTATCTTGTTGAGACATGATGCATTGGTAAAAAATTGACATTATTAATAACAATACAATCGATGAAATACAGGTTTGGATTAATAAGAAAGATATTCTTTTGGTAAAGATAGTTTAGGACAGTTTGAAGTCTAATTGCGTCTTCTATTAAATCATAGTTTTCAGCTGTTCTGTTTTATTCCATTGAACAGACATCTCATTTGTAAGGCTTAGCAGAACACTCCTTTCTTACAAATAAAGCAACTCGTGTTGTAAACTAGTCAACAACCTTTCTTGTATTCGCACGTGTCTTCATCTGTCAAATGCCAAAGCAGTTTCAACAATTAAAAAATGCGACCAGTTGGCGAGAGATCTGCAACTCCTTGCCGTCACCACAAGAGAAGCCGTTTTCTCCTATTCAACATCCTCAGCATCATCCTATTGATCACAATGCAGTCCTTCCATTTTACAGAAGCAAGTCCGACCACTCAATGGGTCGATTTGACAAGTGACAGCAGTCATGGTATCTCCTCGTATCAAAATTCCGTTCAAGATGGTACCATCATGTCCACTTCCTCTATCGTATTGAATCAAACCAGTCTTCTCTCCTATGACCGTTATATTTTAAACATGACAAATTTAAATAATACTTTTTTGTACACTTATGGAGCGAACTCGGATTTCTCTATTATGGAATTGTCTATCAAATACTTTGTTTGTGTTTTGAATTCGTCATGATTGTATTAGCTGCTTCTCCATTGATTGCAAAAAGAGGTGAGTGTTGATTCCGATATCATGATTTTACAATTTTAATTTTTGGAATTTTGAAAATTGTTTTGGGAATTTTGAATTTTATTGAATTTGAAAATCATTGTCAATTTTGTTCTATTGTGTGGTTTCATCATGATGCTCTCATGACACTACACGAATTTTAGGAAGGACATGGCAAAAGAAAGTATTGCTTGCTTTCTGCATGATTGCTGCAATTATGGAATTTGTGGCACAACCATTCGATTTGTTGAAGGTTTTCCATCCACTACAGGATCGATCAATTTCAAATGCAGCCAGTAAGTATTCATTCTTGATGTGCACACAAATATCATGAACTGTCACTTGTCGTTTTCACTCGTAACACTCTGTAGCCCTCTTTCTTCCTCACTTCTTTGCTCGAATGCAATTCCAAGCCATCTACGCTCTCTTTGTTTATCTCTTCTTCAAAATTTTACAAGTCCTTCTCACCATTGCGGAACGAATGAATACAAAAAGAAAACGTGAAGAAATCAAAGAAATGTACAAGAAGGCCATTTTAGGTCTTGGCCCCACAAACACGAGTAGTAGCACAACTGTTCAACCTATTCCTACTACTACTACTGGCATGGATGTAGGTAAACATCATGAAATTTCCCACGGTCTGAACCCTCTGGATTTCTAAATTTGGGAAATGTGAACAACAACCATGCCAATCCTTCGACTGGAACTGCAATGACCACGCACAATGTTCAACATCATCATCATCAACATTCATCGAGTTTGACTCTTCCAGGTTCTCCACAACTCTTGGGAACTCCAAATTCACCTCTCATGATGGCTGGAAGTGTCAATTCCAATCATTCACATTTAGATGCCAATCCCACGAGTGGTCATGCACCTTCGTCATCCATCAACCATGTCGATGATGAATTATGGTATATGAAAAATCAAAGCGTTTCACCCAATGGACTGTTACCTTCAGGCACAAGTTTACAAAATAATGTAAATTCAAATACTATTTCGAATCCACCAAATTCAACACCACCTCTTTCAACAAGTCCTGTTCCAACCAATCAAAAAGTTAATTCCTTAGATATCACTTATTCACACAATATCGATCATGCCCTGAAAACCATTTCCAAAAATTCAGCAACACTCTCCTTAAAACCAAATATTTCAGCTGAAAATCGAAGAGGAAGTTCCTCATCGAATATTTCAGATACTTCCATGACAGGTCTACTGGTTGCCAATAAGAAGGTCATTGAAGTCTCACGAGACAGAGCTACCAGCAATGTTTCAGGAGAATCCAAATTGAGTGAATTAGATAAGGCATTATCATTGGCAGTTCCAACTTCCTCCTTTTATGAAAAATATCCAAGTTCTCCAATGGTGAAATTTCTCAAAACTCTCAGAATTTTCATGATCGTTGTATTCATATTGCATTTAATAGTGAGTATTGCTGATGTTATTTGCATGCTTGCCTTCCATTTATGGGAATTTTTTGGATCCAGTACCATGTCAGGATTTTTCCCATCACTCGATTTGTATCCAACCGTAGCCTTCTCCCTTTCCATGGCTCTTTCCATCTCGATGGTCCTCTTTGCAAGCGTAAATTTCATTCAAATTCTCTCCTTGACCTATGTCTTGTATTTTGACCCAGATCAAGACGACGCCATCAAAAGTGCCATTTTAGGACATCCCATGCCATCGAGTACCAACATTGGACCCATGAAAGTAGCCTTAGAAACCATTGAGGAAAATAAGAATAGATCTCTCATCTGTACCGCTGTTTTATTATGCCATATCTTTGTAGCCATCTATGTCGCGTGCTATCCTCTCTTTTATTATAGCATGATGTTGCAAGGAATGAGTTTCATGTTTCAGATTATTTTTTATGCAGGAAGAAGAATCGGAACCATGTGTGCCATCTTGTCCATTTACTTGTTGTATGTGCCATTTTTTAAAATGTATCATGGAATTACAAAAATTCAAACCACCAAGAATAAGAGAATTACCTTATTTAGATAAATTGGAAACGACATGAAAATTTAATTGTGCCATGAAAATTTCAATTCAATACTCATCATAATGAAAGTCAAAAGGAGAGACATTCATGCTTGTGTATTTGAGAAATAAAAACATACATTAGTTTTCCTCTTGGCGTGCTTAACTGCGACGTGCCAAACAATTTTAAAGTTAGTTCTATCGACAAAATTGTGCTTCTAAGGCAATCAAAACAGTTGTTTTCAAAAAACAACCTTAGAGCTGGACAAGTTAAAAAAAGAGATGTCATGCCTAATTCTACCCCAACCTTGGATAGAACCCATTGCTCATTCTTCCCTCTCTCACATGTTCGTTCATCATGAGAGAAGATAAGAAATTGCTGTCCTCTTTGGGCTGCTTCATGAACACCTCTCCAAACATAGTTGATGAACGGAGCTTCCTTAGATTAGCTTCAAACGATCACAACCGTTCGTTATGGTTGGAATTAAAAGAGTGAATTGAAAAACGATATAATAGGATCCTTATGATTTCAAGTTCACCACTTAAATCATCAAATTGAACGTTTGTTAAAAATTACTGTTGGACGTTTTTACTGCTCAAATTGCTCTCAACAGAATCATGCCACTTTAAAATTTAAAATGATTAATCCATCCACGAGGCTGGCTTAAAATAAATAATCGTTTCCAAGTGGACAAATGTTGAATACCAATATTTGAAGTAGCTGTTTGTCCAGTCTTGCTCTCTTCGAGCTCTCGAACATTTCCTCGCACATAAATATAGGATTTAAAATGTCCACGTTTGCTGTCACGTTCGTTTACATAGGGTAAATTAATTTCGACGCATTCCTCAAAGACAAGTCTTAAATAACGATATCTATCAGGAATAACATATGTTGCATTCAAGAATGAGCAACCATTTGGATCTGTGTTATCTGTGTAAATGTAATCATTACTCTCGTTCAGGGAAACTCCATATTCATAAAATCGAGAGTGATTAAAACCAAATTCTTTCAATAAGAAGTGTTCCCTATGATGTATTACGACCTCAGGAGCATACTGCGCTGATTTGTCTTTCATTTTGTAAATGGCATCGTCACATACACTCCTCAAATGCAACGATGGTTCTTCGATCAAGTATGTTTCTGGATTCATCATGATATAGTCCAAATTTCTGCCATCCAACACGGAGAGACGTTCAGAAAATGGGCAAAATATTTTCTCAGTAATTTTAGAAAGAGACATGCCATGCAGCTTTTGAGGTAACTCAATCATAAATAGGAGAGGGCTTGATGGATTGGCTCGTCCAATGAAGAACAGGTTTTGAATTGCTTCACTCTTAGAATCCTTGTACACAATTAATTGTACCAATACTTGTTTTTTCTCTTTACTATAATGACTCACAGAAATGGAATACTTTCCATCATGCTCTGATCCACTTGCAAAATTAATTTATATTTCGTTTCATTCTTTCCCGACTTGTTCGATCGTTTCAATTTCAAAAAATTTTGAGCATTTGATTCCTTTGTTTCAATAATTTCTAACGTGAGAGAGGATCCTTTTTTGTGGCATTCAAACACGAGATCAATCATCTCTGAAAAATCGGAAAGCATTTGTCGGTGGCGAGCCTTGATGGTCATTTTTTTGTCTCTGTAAAAATAGAACAAAAAATGTAATGATTGTTTCGTTTTTACTTGAACTCGGATGATTAATTTCATTTCCAGATCTTTTCAGTGTTTCCTAGATTTTCTCTGTTTTGAAATTCGGTGCAATGAAGAGGAAGTATTTGATTTGTTCTTTCGAGGTCTTCCTCTTCCTCGTTTCGGTCCGTTCTGCTTTAACATTTGTTCGGCAAGAAAGGATTTTTGTGTATGAGAGACGAAACAGATTTTGGATGGAGTTGTTGTTAGATTGGTTGTTTTTGGAGGTGATAATATTGTTGAGGAGGAGGATGAGGAGGAACGTTGTTCACTAGGATGGACACAAACCCATGTTGAAGATCCATGAGAAGAATTGTTTGAACATTGATTGAGAGAGTTCAAGAAACCTCTTCCATGATCCAACAAGGAATATGATCTGATATCTGAACCTTCATCATGATCCGTAGGACTTGCATCAAGTTTCATTTGTTCCTCCACTGGCTCATGAACGTTACCAAAGAGTGAATCATAATCCAAAGTCAAGAAACAATCAGATGATTGAAGAGAACCATTCTCAAGAACGGTTGGATATAAGGTCAAGTAATGATTCTCACTACTGAGCCTCCCATGCTCGAGACCAATATTGGAACCTATTTCAAAGTTGGGAACTAATGGTTGTTCATGTTGCTGCGAATAAAGAAAGCATTGTTCATAGAGGTTTGAAAGCACAATCTCCATAAGGAAGAATCAATTCGCTCATTCATACCCTCCATGGTACAGGTTGTATGTTGTTCCATCATGATGGAACCTTCTTGTGAGGTTGTTGATGGCGAGAGAAAGGAATCAAGATGATGATGCATCATGTAACAATTGAAAGTAATTCTATTTGTTTTTTTCTGTAGTGGAGGACTCTGAATTCAGCTGCCATCAACCTTATAACATCCATGAGAACCAGATACAACAACAATGTTGATGAAAACTAGCGCGGAGACTATCTCTTTAAAATTGGTGTTTTTGAATGCCAAATTAATGATGTCTCCATGCGACAGAGA